CCAAAATGAAATTTACCACTCTCTGTACATCGTCAAAACTGACTGCATGCTTCGGCTTCCTTCCATGATTTCCATGTCGTCTAGGGACGGCCCCATTTGCTGAATAATGTTTCAAGAGATTAGAGAGAGACTTTTTCCCGACATCAAATAAACACTGGAAAGTCGATCTACAAATTTTCACATTTCTAAAACTGTAGTGGTACGAGTTCCGGACTCTTGATCCTTTTCGAGTGACAGATGACCCGGCAATGCCAATAGAACCCATGATGTATAAATCTTTTACATCTTTTTCCATTTCTCTAACATTAAATACATGGTCAAGAATTACGGAATTCTCAAACTTTGAAAAGCAACGCTGACCACATTTACAATTTTGTTTAATGTCATTCAGTTCTGAAGGGGTGTCATTTTCAATTTCACTCTCACAGTCAGACAATTCATTTCCTGATTGAGAGAGAACAAAATTGCGTATTCGGTCTAATCTATTCGGATCAGAGGGTGTATCGTCCTGATCGCTTGTTGAACGATCCTCCTCAAAATCTGAGTGTGAATTGGCAGCTGATTCCAACCCAAAGTGTGTATTGAAAAGATCATCTAGTTCCTAAAAATTAAAAGACTATTAAATCTTTGAAATCGACGAAATATAATAAATTACTTGATTTATTTAACGAATCTATCCCCTAAATGTACTTCATGTTCATTTATAATTATTAAATGTATTAGTCCTATATAAATGACATAGAATTAAATTTGAAAGATCCACTTTGATTTTAAATAGTAGAATTTTGCAAAAAATGTATGGTTTTCTTATTATTATAATTTTTTTTTAAATTTCTATTCTTTTAATCTTGATTTGTGTACAACTATTTAAAAAGAATATGATTTACTTTTTAATTCGTATATACTCTCTTTCTCTAATTTTATTTATTTATCTTCATTATTATTTTTATTTATTTGATTTTTTGTAGACTTTATCTAGTCTGTCCGTCAATATTCTGAGAGTTATGACGACTCCGATGCTAAGCACCGCGTAAACAGAGGGAAATTTAAAATATTTATTGGACGTTTTTATTCATTAATGTACATGTAACTATTTAAAGAAAGTACAAGGATTAATTTAAAGCAATTTGTAAACGTAAAATTGAAAATACTGTACAAAACGTAATTGTGTGTTAAAATCTTAATATATAACATCTAATCTGAAATTTGTAGTTCTGTAAGAAATCCAAACACTCGTCCGACTAGTTACCATATATGAACATTTATTGTGCCGGTGACTTGTTTTTCTTCTTTTTATAATAACGTGGATATGGACTAAAAGTTATTTATAAGTAAATTCCTTGTAGTGATTTTAAACATCACTTGTAAAACTGCATTGTTCGGTAATAAACTTATAAAACAATACACACGCGCACATTGCAGTGTGCGCGTGTGTATTGTTTTCTCAGTTTATTACCGAACAATGCAGTTTTACAAGTGATGTGAGAAATTACTTCAACGCATCATAGCTGCATTATTCTGACAGGGGCGTAGCTTGACTTTAAATACATTCTATAGAGTCAAACCATAGGGTCCGGGGTTATGGGCCGCTTCAAGCCCCCAGTAGGTCCAAAAGTTAAACAGAGCCCTGGTAGGGGTTTAGTGGACTGACCCCCCCCCCCCCCCCGGGCAGAAAATGGATTAAGGGGTTTTAAAATGCAAATATCATACTTGTCCTGCACAGAATTTTCGTCAACTTTACCAATTTCAGAGCGTGGATATGATACTATACATTATATATGAAAGCACTGGCGGATTTAAGGGGGGGCGTGGGGGGCGCACGCCCCCCCCCTAAAATTTTCAAACTATGATATGACTAATATTAATAATGCCATACTTAAGTATATAACTAACCAATACCACTATTTTTGTGCCTGGTTTTACTCTTAAAATACACGAAAACCCAGGAGCTTCTGGGGGCTTCGCCCCCTGGGCCCCCACTGGGGGCCTTAAGGCGGCCCCCAGACCCCCTGCCTGAACGAAGTTATCCACGCCTCCCTAATCACAAATCCTGTATCCGCCCATGTTATCAATTACAATATCATAACTTTGAATTTAAATTTTTGTTTGTTTGTTTTAGGGCAAACCTAGGTGAGGAAAAAGTTCAAAAAGCGTAAAGATTCCAGATATTGTCCGATTTGTTAAAAGCTGGAGATGTGAAGTTCTCTAGTCATGTAGTGCAGGTGACAAGAAAGACCATAATTTTATATGTACATGTATCTTTTGTGTACTAACTTCACAGAAGGAGTGCAATATAAAGCACAACAAGCCAAGAGCATGCATGTATAAGGGAATGTTAAATGTGTACATGTAACAATATCATTCGGGACGAATTATATGTTGAGGAGCAGATGATGTAATTATTAATCAGTTGTTTTAACGACTATAATTATGATGATAACATGGACCTGACAGTTGTAAATGTGATTCTAAGTCGTTCCGATAACTAAACCTTAGGGGATGACGAGGAACAAGAAGAAAGGGCCTCTCTCAGGGCCTCGGAAGTTGAGCAAAAACCAAACAAAAATTCAGTCTTCTGTGCTCTTCGTCATCTTGCAGGGTACTGCACAAGCACATAGTTGTAATACGCAAGGGTGCTTTACCGGATTTGTGAAATTCATGACCACTGGAAAAGGGGTTTGGTGCTAGGACAGGGCTCTGTTGATGATGCAGGAAAATTTTTATTGTACTTTGAAAGAAGTCATTCTTCTTTGATCATTCCCCTATGATAATCAATTACTGTTAATTATAAAATTGATAAATCATTTGCATAAAAAAATAAACAAGAAAACATTAGACAAACTTTCCTATATTTTTAATTAGTCGTTTTGTTAGTTGAAGATCAGGAGAGGACAGTTTTTTTTATATTGTGCTGGATTTGTACACGTATATTGTAGTTTCAGCAGTATTAGCAGACATGTTGTTGCATTCTTATGACGCAGAATTTAGTTATAAACTTCTACATGAAAAGAAGACTCTTGCTTTGGCCTTAAATTTGACATTAAGATATATCTACAATATTCATTGTTATTCCTATATTGATTCGATTTATGCCATTTGACTCGAAATAAAAGATACCACAGAGTCTGACACATTTGTTTGATATTTGGATGTTTTACTAGAGAAAGACAGTGATCATGACAAACACAACAACTAAACTTTATGATAAACGTGATGACCTACCCTTCATCTGGCGTACAGTCTGCTCTCTTGCCTAATCATTCCTCTGTTGACAGGGAAAATCATGATATAAAAGGAATACTTCACGTGCATTTTTCTATCATCAACTTATTTATGTAGCAATTTACCATTATCAACTGCAAATGGGGTTGATTGATTCGATAAACAAAATCATATTCTACAAACTAACAATTTCTAAAAAGAGACAGACAACTGACAAATAAGTAGATGATACAAGGATTTCAATAATTTCGATCAATGTCAACATTTCGGAAATTCTGTGGTCGATACAATGACCTTTTTTTTCAAATACATGAACAATGGATCGTTAGGTCGAATGTTGACTAAAGTATTTCGTAAAAAAATGTTACACAATTATTTTTACATTGAAATTTCTACGGATTTTTCTATTTATCCAGACGGCAGGTGTGACCGAATGTTAGGGGATGCTTACTCCACCATGGCACCTGATTCCACCTCTAATTTCAGAGCTCTGTGTTTACTCTGCTAGCAATTTCTATTGTTTAATTGGACTTTTGGGCTTAATTACGGTTCTTTACATGCATGTATCTTCATAACTATTTTATTTCATGTTGAATTACCGTTGTGTTAAGATGGTAAAAGCGATCGACACCTTGGAGTGTACATAACACTGGCATACATAGACAAATTAATAGATAAATAGTCTAAGACTACTTATTTTTTGGTTGATCTTTTTGTCATGTTTTCAACAACATATCTTCCCCTATCAATTTATTTATTGATTTTCTATAATTATTAAATTTCCCTGATAGGGATTCTTATTCCTTAGCACTTGATATACATGTATTTGTTGACATATTTTGCAATTAAGATGTGAATTGCTATTATAATCTCTTAAAAACGTAAGATACTCATAGTTATAAATTATGCAGAACAAGGACACCGCAAACGGAGCATCCCCATCCCTATTTACTTAGCAAAAGATGCAGCATAAGCCCTAAAACTTTTAAATTTCTGGTATATTTACCGCTGATATTACCAGTAAGTTCTAGTCGAGGAAAGTGAACCTGACTGGAGAAATCTTAGTATTCTTATTTCAAAGAATAGAAATGTATCTTATTTTTTTTATTCATTTTTTTCTTGCAATACAAATATGACGGAAAACACGTCAGAATAAGAAAATTATTTATATAATTTAGCATTCCATTAAATTGCATTCATTCCTTGTATTACTTTTATTACGAAGGAACTCACCAGCTAAATCACTCACAAGCACGTTATTATATCCCTTTCAACTTCTTTGGGAGGGGATAGTATGGAAGTAAACAAAATGAGAATATTTCAGTAAGCGGGTAAATTTTCTTTAATTTTTTTTTAACATATGAATTGTCGACGGATTTTTCCTTTATTTCCCGATCATGACAAGGAGCACACGGCGGGTGTGACCGGTCGGCAGGGGATGCTCACTCCTCCATGGCACCTGATCCCACCTCTGATGTGTTTGGAGGTCTGTGTTTGCTTTGCTCCCGATTTGTATTGTTTTAATAGACATTGAGCTTGAATACTGTTTTTTATCTCCATTTATGCCATATGACAAAATGTGTCCATTATTGAAAAGAAACAGATGGAATAAGAATAAAAGTAATTTTAAAGTGTCTTTTCATTGGATGTTGATACAACTAATGAGAATTAGACCAGTCCTCTTAAGATTTAGTAGGCGGCATTTTACAACATAACTGCTATATATATATAAACGATCACATCTGCTGAGATTTCAAAGATAAGTACAATCTTTTAACCTAGGAACTGGAAAAAAGGTAGTAATTTTTTTATCAGTTCAGCATAGATTAGGTTTTTTTCAAAAATGTATCATTAAGACTTTTTTTAATATAAATTTATACGAATCAAATACAGAAAAAAAAATCCTTTTATGAGTAAATAAATGTTTCGATGAAGAGATTATATTGCAATTTACTTAAGAAAAATATGTGGTGGTGTACATAAATATTATTCAAGTGCTTATTTTTTTTTTTTTTTAATGATTGGATTATTTAAATCAGTATCTTAAAAAAAATATTTTATTATTTTAGGAACCAACAATGGAGAAGATGGCTGCTCCAATTCAATGTATCTATTATTTTGTTAGAGAGAAAACTTTAACTTTATAAATGATTGCATTATTAAGATTTTTAGAAAATGTTTTGAAAAGAAATGAGTAAGTTATCCATCAATTAAAGTTTGTACATTATATACTGCATATATATATAATGTAAAACGCAGCATGTAGAAGTTTAGGTCTTCAAGTATTTATGGTAAATTTCTGGTGAATTTTATGCATGTTCTAAAGAAGTATTGAATTTCAATATTGTATATAATTGCTAACAGGGAATCAAGTTTAGTTATAAATGAAACGATTGGATCGTTTATTGTCTTTGCAGCTACTATCGTCGATGGTGTGCTAAAGATTGCACTAGAAATCGTGGAACCTTCCCTAAAAGAATGTTCAAGTGCCGAGCGTAGGGAAATAGAAGAGTTAATGAGGAACTGCGCTTTAAAGGAAGCTAGCTTGACGAGCCGTCTTGCTGATATCTCCAAACTTTCAGATGCAGAATTGCGAGGAAATGTCCGAAAGCTTCTCTCAGAGGATGATTACAGGAAAATATCTGAATACGTCGATCAAGAAACATTTACGATGGATATTACGAGCACTGCAGCAACTTTTCAGCGTGGAAACCGAAAGTTCCTTGAGCCCATACAGCTTAGCTCGATAGAAGCCATCACAGCTGCGACTATTTACCAAATAGCTAGCATTTTCATTGAAAGTGTATTTTTGGTTCTCGGTGCCATTGGAATTAAAGTAAGCTACGATGAGGCCCTGATGCGCAAAATAATCGAAGAAATCCTACCAGTGGTGCAACAGCCGGCTTTCAGAAGAATCATAGATGAATTTGTTGAGACCTGGGCAGCAGGAAATGCATGGGGAAAAGCAAAAGCCATTTTCAATTTACTGAAAGACACCTATTCTTTTGGCATATTCTGGAAAGTTGTTAAAATTGCTTTTTCGGAAATGTCATGGATGGAACGAATCAAAAATATCGCACTGGTTGCCACTATGATTGTTGCCGCACTTGCAACAGATGGCATTGCACTGATTGCCAAAATTGCTCTCTCTGTCAATGATGCCTACAACCTTGCCAAAAAGATCATTAACATGATACGATTGAAAGCATTGGCTTCAGAGTTTAACAAATAGTATGCTAGAACATTGGCCTCCGAGAAATTTTTTTTTTCAATTACTCGATTTGTTCAATCCTTGTGTAAACATCTTACTTTATTACTGAAAATTTAATGCATTTATATACTTCCTTTTTATATTACATGTAACCATAATAAAGAGTAGTCACAATTTCTATGATTTATTTTATATAAAGGAATACTTCAAGTTTCCTGTTTGTACATATTTTAACGACAGTGATTGACACTGACAATCTACGTTTACCCTAACATGACAAGGGGCACGGAATGGGTATGACTGGTTGACAGGAGATGCTTACTCGTCCATGGCATCTAATCCCACCTCTGATGTTTCAAAGGTCCATGTTTGCTCTGCTCAAAATCTGTATTGTTCAATTTGACTTTCGACATGATTATTATTTGTTATCTTCACATTTCATTCTCAAACAAAGAGAACCGTTCAAAAGAAATTTCTTAACTTCAGAATAAAAACTTGTTTCATGTAACTCAGGTAAATAAATATTTTTTAAACTTTTTTTTTTGCACAACGATACACAGTTACAGAAAGTGAAGATTGCATTCTATCTACGTCAGCTCATCGCTTGATCACTGATTTGCTGATATCATAGATGGAGCTTGTTTACTATTTTAAGCTTTAAGCGCTAGGATCAGTCCAAGCGCGTATGGGCATCATACAGGGAAAAAGGTCATCTTCCGAATCATGCAGTGCCACAAACGGATAATGGCAGACACAGTATCCTATATGTATATTTTCCTATGCATTACTTAGACAATTGTGACCCCACCCTAACCTTGGGGATCATGATTTAAACGAACTTGAAAAAATACATACTACCCGATGATCTTTCTCTATTCATATGACTACTTATATGGATTTGCCGTTCTTCAGAAAAAAAATTTAAAGATATTTTCTATACATGTATATTCCTTTGTAAAACTTAGATTGCCAATTGTTGTCCTTCCCTATCTCTGGGGGTCATCATTTGAATTTACACTACCTGAGGATGCCTCTTTCTAAATATCACCAGTTACGACTTTGCTGTTCTTAGGAAGAAGATTTTAAAAGTTTTTTCCTATATAATCATATGTAAAAACTTTGTTTGCCTAATGTGCCCCCCCCCCCCTCCGGTGGTGATGATGTTTTGAATCTACACTACCTGAGGATGCTTCCATATAAATACATGTATGATTAATCATGGCATTGCTATTATTGTGAAGAAGATTTTAAAGATTTTTCCTATGTGATCCTATGTTAAAGTTTGATTGCCCATTCTGGCCCCGCCCTACCTTGGGGGTCTTGATTTGAACAAACTTGAATCTACTCTGCATGTACCCGATGATATTTCTGTATTAATATGACTAATTACGGATTTTCTGTTCTTAAGAGGAAAATGTTTTCCTATGCATTCCTATGTAAAATTCAATTTGAATCTACAGACCTGAGGATGATTAAACATAAGTTTGATATTTTCTGGCTAGTGGTATTTGAGAAGATTTTCAAAAGATTATTAATGTTTTCACTAATTATCTCCACTTGGAAGAGGGCGTGGTCCTTCATTTGAACAAACTTGAATCCCTTCACACAAGAATATTTTGTGGTAAGTTTGATTGAAATTATCCCAGTGGTTCTTGAGAAGAAGTCGAAAATGTGAAAAGTTTATAGATAGACGGACAGCTAGACAGACTGACGTACGATCAGAAAAGCTCATTAGCCTTCGGCTAAAATTACATACAAAGAATTATCTTTTTTTGAAAAAGAAAATTATCTAGATATATCATATCAACATGAATTAAAAATTCAGATGTAATGTGCTACCGCATATTCAAGAAGTCGTGTTAATCAGATATGGATCCCTAAAAAGCTCCAATTAAAGATCTTTCAGAAAATTTGGAATCACATTTTTTCCAAAATCAATAATATCAAGACATATGACTTTTCAACACTTTCAATGCACCATTTCAAATTTAAGATCAGGCTTTTTGACATCATGGGCAATATTCTTCAAGAAAATTGAATTCGGAAATTTTCATATACATTGTATTGTGAGTGGCCATCTACAAAATCACTTTGATAAAAACCATTCTGTTCTACACACTCTGAAGTTACTATTATTAAAAGGATACTGGGGTTCCTAGTTGACAACATGTATGTAGTCTTTGGAGACCAGGTCTTCCAATTAACAATCTGTTGGAATTCCGACAATCTGATTAAAATCAGATCCTTTGATCCGCTCACATAGATCGCTACACAAGCCTTGTGTAGCGATCTATATGAGCGGATCAAAGGATCTGATTTTAATCAGATTGGAATTCCGATAGAAATTAATTGCGTTCCTATATCAGTCGACCTGTTTTTATATTTCTATGAAGCAGATTTATGGAAAAACTATATATATATATATATATATATATATATATATATATATATATATATATATATATATATATATATATATATATATATATATATATATATATATATATACTGAACACGTTTTATCTATAAATAATATGTGGCTACTCTATATCCCAGTGAAATCAAAATAAAAGCCCTGCACAGTCTGCCTCCTCTATTTTATATTCAGATGTTTTACTGACTAAAGATGTTCTTGGCCAACTAAATTTTGAACAATATGACTGCAACTTTCCAATCGTCAACTTGCTCTATTTATGAGTAGGGGTATTGAAAAATAATGAATATACATTCGCTGTATTTTGTTCAACAAAAATATCACAGGTATACAGCTTATCCCACTCCTTCAAAATATTCTCCTTGAACTTTTTAAGCATTTTTTCAGTCTTTGAATCCATTTCTGAAAAGCCGAGATATAGGCCAATTTTTGGACACCCTTTAGACACTGGTATTGCGCGCTTCCTACGCAAAATGCCTTTTCCAAGGGCATTATAACACCTTTTTGATAGGCGTAATAACGGCTTTCAAAAAGCGATATTACGCCAGTTTTCGCGTTGGCGATACAACGCCTTTTCAATTCGAGATATTATGTCTCTCTCTCTCTCTCGTTATTACGCCTTTTAATTTTTTTCTTCTATGGTTTGATCCTAATAGTAGTAGTTAAACATGAACCAGGCAGTTATAGAGTACTTTATATGCTATTCTCTATTGAGAAGTTGATGGCTCGTTTATACCCCCCCCCCCCTTGAGGGGGAGTATTAAACGAGCCATCAACTTCTCAGTAGAGAATATTTATATGCCAGTCAACAATAAAATAAAATAAAATAAATACCCCCCCCCCTCAAAAAAAAATTCGTGCTGGTTAGGGTCATCGTCCACATCCATTCGTGATTTTCGTCTGAATAATGACCATTATAGCTTTAGACTTTAAGTGCATGTTTAAAGTGCGTACTTGTAAATATGAGCCGACAAGAAATCCAAATTTTTAGCTCAGATACGCCATGTATAGCTTTAAAAGCTGGAAAATGAAAAAAAAAAAAGAAGCAACTATCAATTTTTTTTTTCAAAAGTACTGAAAAGGGGGGGGGGGATATTGATAACAATTTAAGGTTCACCGCCCCTTTGATAAGAGAGATAACTCTAACTGAGATAAATGACCATTATTCCTTGCTCATAGAATTGTAACGAAGGCTTTTTGGTCGGTTTCTATAGTGATAATTTCTGAAAATATATGACCAAGATGAAATGTATATTTCTAAGATGTTTTATTCTTGGTGTTCCAGCATAAAGTGACAATTATATAATGTATGATATAAGATGACATATAAATTAAAACAAAAAGATAATGAACAATGAGTCTTTGCAACCTATACAACATATATATAATGACCACATTACATAATACATAATGAGTCCTTGCACAATGAAGATTGGTGAAACTTAAATAATTTATATAGACAGCATATTAACCTTGACCTTACACGTGCATATCATATCATATATAATATAAACATTATGAGATCACTTGGCCATGAAAAGGCATAGGAACTTGGGGACTGGAACCCCCCCCCCTTTCCATTTTTTCCTTTTTTCCTATTTTAGTATTTTAATGTGTACTACATGCTATCGAAAATGTACTCCTTTTGTTATAAGCTGTTTTTAAATATATCGTTTTCGACCGATACATTTACATAAAAGGAGTATCAGTCGAAAATACTAAACCAAGATACTGGTATCCTAATGACAAATAGCGAAGCACAATATTCTATAAGCACATAATGAAGTAAGTAGCAACGATTTCAATCAAAATTTCTTGGACAAAAGTAAGCCAATTAACCAAAGAGAAGACTTGTTTAAGTTTGACAAACTTATAGCTTTAATAACCGTTTCCCATGCACCATCTAAATCATTCAATTTCAGCAACAGACAAGCAACTAAGTTTAAGGTTAGAACGTGGTATTCCTCTCCGATACTTTCAAGAGAAGTCAGAATTTGTCTGCAGAAGAATTTGGCAGACAAGCTGTCGTCCTGTGCATCACTGATCAAACACTTCAGAGCAAGTGTCAGAATTTTGGGGTGGTATTTGATGCCATCACAGGATGATGAAGCGTTGAGTGCCGCTAATTCTAATTGAAAAGGAAACGGTACACAGTTGATTTCTTCCGGCAAAAATATTACGTCTGCCGACAACCAAGATAACGGTCGAAATTCTAGGAAATTGTTGTCGAGTTCGAGCAGATATTCCATTTGATCTATATCTTCACTTTCAAATATTCCTTGCGCAATCCTGCATGTACATTCTACGAACTTTTTCCGTCTTTCGGCTTCGGCTGGTTCTAATGACTGTTTCTCCAGTTCATCAGAAATAAGGACTAAGAATTCCTCCTCCAACGCTGTCATCCTCACTTTAATTTCTTTCTCTCCATATAAAGCAACATTTTCATGATCAATTTGTTTTAAAACCTGATCAGCACGATCAATTTCTTTCATCATTAACTCAAAATTTACAAGCCTGAGTTTTGGGGTGATGGAATGACCTTGAAAGCCTTTAACAAAGTGTTCCCTTGCATCTTCTACATAAAGATTTCGAATTTCAAAGTCTTCCTCGTCCAATGGAATCATTTTGGATATCTCTATATGATTAAGGATTCCTATAAAAGTATGATTCAGCCTTGCAAATGGTCTAGAATACAACCTTGGAAAAGGATCATTATTCATTAACTGAAGGTACCCCATAAGGCTTGTGTTGAAACCCATTGACTTGTTGACATTGTAATGTCCCATCATTGTTCTCCAAAACTTCACCCCGGACATAGTTACTAACTCGTCAAATTGTCTAGAACACCACATAAACCATTGGAAACTCATGTGACAACGATGGAGGTATTCAAAATCTAATGAAGTCAAACAATTATGGAGACTGTGAATGGTTGAACACTTTTGTAATGCTGACAGGGTATTTTCTAGAATTGCTGTAATGACGTCACTTAATTTTTGACACGTATCTTCTGTGAACACTTCTCCGTCCAATAGATTAGGGCTCTCCATAAAATAGTGTGGACAATGTCGATTGTGCACAAACTTCAATAATTTTATGAAGCAAAGTTGTAGACATTTCAAAATGTTTGTTGTTGTCCAATCCGTCGGTTTTGTTTCTTCGAGAACCCATAACATGGCAGTCTTCAGATGATATGACGTCAGAGTCTCTCTATCAAAATATTTAGCTATAAATTCTTTGTTAAGAAATTTCAATAATGCGAAGCATTTGCGTTGACAATCATTAAACAGCCACATAAGTTTTCGTTCTGATTTCACAAAAGAGTATCGCCATTCGAGATGTTCTGATTCACTCCCGGAAAATCCCTTTGGGACTAAATGACATCCTTCTTGTGTTATCATAACTATGAGTTCCTTGGTGGGCCATACTCTATCTCTCGTTTTGGCCAGAATCGACAAGAAAAGGCACAAACCAAATCTCTTTTTGCATATCCGACATTTGAACAGTTAAATACTACAGTACTTGCTGGATCGTGTCTTTCAAATGACACATATTTTTCATACTTATCATCAATATCTCCGACAATTTTTCGATGTGATGGCATAAGTGTGGACAGAGCTTTGGAACTCGATAAAAATAGTCGATTTTCATCTTTCACAACCAGACTCGATGACAAGGCCAGTTCTTCATCTATCATTGCCTCCAGTTTTGTGTAGCCCGGTGGAACACTCTCATGACACATCTTGACAATGAAAGGAATTTTTGCATCCAAGTCTGTTGCATCGTCGCCATCGTCAACTATATGCAGTATTCGATTGAAAGAAATCGTAATATCGAAATCGGCTTTGGATTTTTTCAAGAAACTGTCACCACTAAACCCTTCCGCTGAACTTCCAGTGTACACGGTGGAGAATTTTGGGGCCAAGACAGCGTTTTTAATTCTCTCAGAAGCTAGAACCTCAGCTTGTTTCATTTTACAAACAGACTCCTCAAATCCCAATGCTGTCAAAATCAATTCCATTTCTCGGTCCTTGCTGTGTTCAGCCATTGCTGATATTGTTTATGTCTGTGTATATATATATTGATTTAAATACACGTTACAGTTCACTGAGTATAAAAAGCATTGTAAATATTTAATAGTCCTTTGAAATAAATTGTTACTGTTAAACATACTTTAAAACATAACGTTTCAAATAGCCGGCATATAGCATGCTATTAAAAGGAGTAGGATAAGAATCTGAATAGGGAAATGTAGTCTGCTAGCTGATTTTAAGGGAAAAAATTACACTAACTTGACGTTTTAAACAATTTCTTTAAAATTAAAAAAAAAATCCTTTGCTAAAATAGTAATAACTGTTTTATATAGTACTAAGAATTTTTTAGATTAATAAAGCAGGCCCGTAGGAAGCAATTTTACTTTGAGGGGGCACAACCATACATTTTTAGTTGGGGGGGGGGCACTATCAACTACCAAAATTCCTTGACAAGAAAAAAAAAAGTCATCAGACGTTATTATTGAGGGGGCTCAAGCATATAGTAGCTATGTTTTCTATAGTATTCTATTTATCGGCAAAATTATTGGGGTGGGGGGGGGGTGGGGGGGGAGAGAAAATGTTTTTAAAAATCGAATACCTGTGACGTTGAGGTACGTTTGACTATATTATTCTAATTATGCAAATCATATTGAGTTACTATAGTTTGTGAAATTTCAGAAGGAAAGTTAAATACTCTGTTGCGAGATCATGTTCTATTTAAAAGATGTCATGAAGCATAACTACATGTACCTCTTTTCTCGACTATAGACAAGTGTTTCCTATCCTGTGTGGGAGGCAAGTTACAGTATGTGAAGCTTCTAACTTAAGATTTTCCATTCTTTCAGAGTCAGCTGCGGAGATCCTGTCCCATACTTCTAATGCATATTCAAAGAGTGGTCTTAGTTAAATGTAATATACATTTAGCGCTGAGGTCGCGGTTCATTAACAATTTAATGATACGACTGCAATTTTCGAAGGATTGCAATTTCTTTGGAAGCCTTTTGTATAATATTATCAATATGGTTTGTATTTATCAGAGTTCGAAAATGTAAGCCCAGGATGACAGTGACAAGGTGAAAGGGCAATATGTTGACTGTCTGACACGAAGTGAAGTTAAATTAGATGTTTCATCTTCATCGCTGCCATATATTAATATTAAAGTGTTGCTAGAATTGAATTTCACAAGCTATTACATGTATATGTATCGTTATTTTTTTTTTCTTAATCGTGATTAGTATGTATAAACATTTCTCATATGTATCCAACTTCGGCAAATCTTTGGAACTGTTTGACACGAATTTATCATCTGCAAATAACCTAGAAAAGCCCAGGAGACCACATCGTAGGTCATTTCAGTAGAGGCCGAAGAACATAGTCCTGGTGAACTCCATCTTCTGTTCTTGATATCCGAGTGAGAGAAATTAATATTAAACTTGCTTTGTGCAATTCCCACTAAAATTTTTGACCTATTGTGATCGATGGAAAGATAGTTATTAACCAGGCAAGAACTTCACAAATCCATATTTTCCTAGTTGATATTTTAAAACCTTTCAATGTCGAATGCCTTGCTAATGTCACATTCTTTATTATCTAAATTCAGCAACACATGATACACTTCTATCAGCTGGGTGACTGTTGAATGATTTCGCATAAACCCAGCTTATAGTTTGTATAATAATTTTTGCGATACTAGGTGTTATAGATATATGTTCTCAGTATATTTGAACATTACTCTGTCAAAGATTTTTCGTGTAGAACTTATTACAGGCACTAAGTATCAGGGGGTGGGGAGGGTTCCACTTTTTTCCAAAATTAACTTTTTACTGTTGAAAGTGTTCATTGAAAGGGTGGCTGCCCCCTTTTTTTGTTATTGCGGCACATTTAAATCGTGGTATTATGTCAATGTATTAATAAAATTTGGTTTTAAAAAAAGTTGCACCCCACTTTTCAAGTTTGGCTTCAGTCCTCTTCGCTCTTCAGTGATGGGAGGTTATGAACAAGAAGTGCAATCTTCTACCGAATTTTCGCGAGAGAGAGAGAGAGAGAGGGGGGGGGAGGGAATCTGCGATTTACTAGTAATACCAAATCCCAAATTTTCAAAGGAAAGGAAAGGGTATTTACTTGCAAAAGGATAGTACTGATTAAAAGAAAAACTTTTAAAAGTGATAAAGGAAAACTGACTCAATAATATCGGGGGGGGGGGGGGGGATGGGTGGGTATAGGCTTTTATAGTAGCATTTTTGCTGCAAAAGCACTTTCACAGCAGGAAACGGGGGGGGGGGGTTAGACTAGAGTGAAAAGAAATCTACCAATATTCAGAAAGCATTTTAGGTTAGTTGTGATTTTCATTTCATTTTAGAATCATTAGAGCACTTCATATGATGCATTTAGATTGTGACGTCACAAAACGTTAAATCAAACGTAACGGTGCTACATGTGAAAATATACATAATACAGGTAAGATATTTTTCTTTAAATCGTTTTGTTATATGCTTCCCTAAATGGGAGTGTTTTTTATCACAATGTGGGAAACATGAATGAATTAGTATAAAGTTTTTAATGCGATTAAATCATGATCTCAATGATGAAGGAGGTTTAGTGTCGCCTTGGTTCGACATAAAACTGACGTTATCCAGGTATTTTTTGACGTCCCAGTCAGTGACAAGCCTGGAGAAAGTTACAGTAGATATTTCGGACAAGGCTTCAACGGTATACCCTCCTTTCCTCCTCCCAATAGATTCCGGTGCTAGTTAGTTGTAGACATTTACGTTATTATTGCATGTACAATCAAGAGTCAAAAGTATTTCCGCACAGAATTTTTACTATATTACAAACTTCACTTGAAAAGCCAATCGCAACTTCTCGGGCCTTTCCGACTAGCGGAAAAACGTTGTTTTTCCGACCTCTTACAGAAAGACCCGAGATTATGCGATCGTTGAAAAGCATTACTAACAGCTTTCAATATAAAGAAAAATTCACGAATCATGCACCATTGTCTAGATCAAAAGCTGATATTTCAGGAGCGGATTCAGGCGGGCGCTCTTATTCTCTTTAAAGTGGACAGGATTTCGCCTAGATAGAATGTTCTATCTTTAAAATGATAGATGTCCTACGGACCCGGTTTAATGTGGTGAGGGCCTGTCCCGAGACACAGTTAGATTATTCTAACTAGCTTTCGCCAACATCCACGTGGATTTAGGCGAAAGCCTGTCCACTTCTCTAAAGAGAATAGGGCGCTATCAGCGTTCATGCCCTCTAAAACAAAACAAAACAAACAAAAAAAAAAAAACAAAACAAAACAAAACCAAACCCCCCCCCCCCCGAAAAAAAAAAACAAAAAAACAAAAACAAAAACAACAAAAACAAAAACAAAATCAAAACAAAAAAAAGACAAAAAAAAACAACAGTTTTCACTGTCATACTTTGATGTAACAAAGGCTTTTTTTTAAAGAGAGCTTACGCAAGCCCCCCCCCCCCCCCCAATAGTCCTTGTCCTGATCTTGATCCGCTCGGCGGTACTTGGACCCCTTGCCATCTAATAGCACACCCTTTCATGCAAAATCTTGGATCCGCGCCTGAATTTGTTTTTTTTTTTTTCTTCTGGTTTTAACAGTCACTACGATAATGAATTTGAGCTTCGTTTGTTTCACGACACGCTCCTCAACTATCTGTGTTGTTTCTCTTCGTAATATATAGAAAAAATCATAATATTTACATTATCTTGTGATTTCTAACCGTTTTCAAAATGTCTTAGAAAATAAATACAACAAAAATAGAGATATTGACCATTCAAATGATCATATAGAAACACCACCCTCTGGTATCTTGCACAAACGCCAGATAAGGTACTTAATTTTTTTGTGCGGAAACTTGTTTGCAAGCAAGTAGCAATACTTCAATGACAAATTCTTGGGAAAATTATATATTATTGAGGAACGTGTCGTCTGACCTTAAATAAATTGTAAATCAAAATTACAAGTCTAATAATTGATTCTTAAATCATGAAATACATGAAATATCAGGTAAAATTAATTTTTATCATAAATCATCAATTCTGCATATCGCACGCGTGTGAAAATTTTTTAATGACATCAATAAATATAAAATTTTTCAAATAGGTTTGTAGTGGCCGGATAAAAAAAAGTTCGGAAATACTATTGACCCTTAGTGTACATATCAATTAGTCAATCTGAAATTATAAAGAAAAACATAAAAGGAGATGGGCGAACATAGCGTGCAGAAAGCCTATAGCTTCAGATATATAAAAATCATGTTCAGTTTGTGAATTTAGTATTTAGAGTAAAGTTCTCATTATTGAAATTTATGAAATTATGATAAACAAAACTATCTTGAGGAAAATTTTCTCGGCAAAATTTATTCTTTTATTTAAAAAAATAATGAGGTATTCGTGTGGTTCGAACCCTAGCAATAAAAATCCTGAGTATCATTTTCTTTCGAGACTAGCACGCTAACCACTAGACTACACAAGTTTTGATGAAATGTGGCATTTAAATCATGTTTGTGATGTGACCCTTGACTTAATGGACTTAAGTATTTCTCGAAAAGCTGCGAACGTTACGTCATAAAAGTATATTTTTAAGGTATAGTGGGTCATTGCTCCATATTTTTGTAACCAAAAAATGTATATTTTTATGCAAACTTTGAGGATTAACTTTCAAAAAGGTGGAGCGGAGACCCACTCATATCGAAAAATAGTATTATAGTATGAGAAAATGATTCTTTTAGCCCGCTTTTGTGTGTGTCTAATATTTCACAGGCAAATAATTTCTATCTTTGAGGGATTTTTGCAAATTGTAGAGATTTTACATTAAGTATATTTTAATGTTAGACGAAATATCAAGGAAAATTTTGATATAATTGAAATTTAATTTTTCATCTTCATGTTTGTCACACTATAGGCTTATCGCTCGTCATGTTCACCCATCTCCTTTCTAAATACTCTTCATTTGTCTGTAGGCGCAAAATTCTCAGGAAGGTTGCTGCAGATCTGTAGCTCGCTGGTCAGAAAAAAATTGGGATGGAGGTCTGTCATATTTTTTCCGGAGAGCTACAGTTCTGCTGCTATCAGGAAGCGGTGCGTTGAGTGCAATTGCACCCCCGTTAAAAAAAAAAAAAAAAAAAAAATCTCGAAAAACATTTTGAACCTGGCGACAGCTCCGAGACACCCAGCTGTACTAAAGTCACTAGAATATCTTCAGCTATCATTAATGTCATGATCATGCATGCTGGACATACGTTCATTACGATACTCTTTATTAACCAACAATTTTGTACTCCAGCTAAAAATCAAAATAGACAGTCATGAGTGTGTGTGCATGTTTCATAATGGTGGAATTTTACACACACACAGTGTAGATTATTTTTTTTTTCTATTTTACTCTATAACCTTTTAAAAAGTTCTTTATCTCCACAACTTTGAATCTGTTCAAGGTTCAAGTTTATCAAATAAAATCACTTCATTTTCAGTCAAGGCCTAAACATGAATGCCCAACTCAACACAGTATTCCTTCAAGAGAGTCACGCAATGCTGAGCAGAAGTAAATCCAGATCCCTTTTAGAACTTCAGAGGAGACGCCAAAGAGACAACCGTCTTAACCGCCTCGGGCGTATAACGGAAGCGGAAGTGAAAATGATGAGCCTTCCATCAACCACCTGTCAAGAGGTCAACAGTGCTGCAGCTAACAGTACAAAAGACCATAATATCCCCAAACAAAATAATAAAATCAGCAATAACTTCTACATCAAGACCTCAGACACCAAAGCTTACGGGTCTCTGCTTTCATGCCCCCAGACTTTACAGGTTTATCCCAAGTCCATGTGTCCCAACATTGAAAATCATCTTGTGAGAATTTACCTTGACAAAATTGCTCTTCCTTTGGCCTGCCCCACCTGCTGGAGTTTACAGAGAAATGCATAACTTGTTTGAAAGCTACAAATATAACACTGATATTCTGATTTTTTTTATTGTTGTTCTCAGTTTTAATGGATGGTTTACAACAAATATAGCTTCAACGAATTTAACAGTACATCTATGAATCAAGAATGAAGAAAGGCTTGTACTATTTCCTGGCACTGCTTTTCTTTTCAGCTAACAGCAATATTTCTTAAATGTGACATGAAAAACAATCGTCTCAAGTATCTTTGAATTTAAAAACAATGATGTCTTATTTTCCACTAAAACATGGATATTGTTCTTGGTCTTCATCAGTGATCAGAAAAAGTGACAATTTTCACCTCGGTAGCAAATCTGAACCCATTTAAAAAGCCACAATGCACATGAAAATGAAAGCAATACAGTCAACCAACACACTGCACTTTTTGTCAGTTGCCTGTCACTTGTTTGTGGTTGTAGGTTAGAATCCTTCTTGATACTGTTTACTTTCCATCTTAGCAATGATACGTTCTAGCTGTCTTCTAGCCTCACACATTGGGAAATTACTCATGTCGTAGTACTGTGGTGCTATTTTGATCAGCCTGTAAAATCAACAGTAAGGCAACAGGTTATGTTTTGCATGTAAAGAAAAAACTATATTACTGATCTATATTATCAGAAATTTCTTATTAATGTTTAATGACCGCTGATAAGAGAGATACTGTATACAGGGTTATTTTCGCCCCTTGTCGTTTTCGCCCTTTCACACTTGCGAACAATTTTGCCCCATTTTAAAAATCGCCCAGTCACAGCTCTGTTTAAGAAATTATAATGTCTTCTTTGAATTCACCCTGTTATGAATTCGCCCACCAGTGTGTAGAAAATAAAATGGAGCTGAAAATTTCCCTGTATACAGTAACTCTCATTGGGATAAATGACTACAATGGACCATTCCTGTCAAAGTTTGCCCTGCAAGGCATACTGTCAAAGTTTGCCCTGCAAGGCATGCTGAAATTTGTATAGATATTTAATTAAAAGGAGGATTTTTTTTGGACAAGCATTAGTCAACAAAGAAATGATGATCCCTAAGCATTCATGTTCATTCAATAAACTTGGATTGTTCAAAATTAAAACAAAGTGATGAAAATAAAAATTAAGCATGGTTCAAATAAAAAATCCTCAGGCCTTTTCACATCATCACTGTTGTAATAAATAAATCTCTAACAAACCATTCTGGTTTGATGTCAGTGACAGTCCTGATGTAGTTTTTGGTGGTCAGTACAAACTCATTGTACAGGACCCACTCCGGTTTGTGGTCCAGACAGGTAGATGGGTGGAGCTGCACCACCTGGCTGTCCTTCACTGTCAGGTAGTGACCAGTTCTCTCTAAGTGAGCCACCTACAAAAAATGTCAGATGCCATAGAAAAATATAATCACATGGGACTTGTAGAATATGGCAGTAATACAATTTTGAAAGATATTTAGAAAAGTAACAGCTGTTCACGGAGTATAGATTATTTCCTGTACAAGTATTTCTTTTAGAAAATTTTATAATAAATACAGCAGTACCTGCCAACAAAATTGATATAAAGGGGTAATAATTTCATGTAACTTTGACAGCCCAGGGATTTTAAAATAAAAGTTTTGCAAAAGTGCAAGAAAAATATATGTACCCGTAGTTTGATTTTTAACCTGAAGTGTTCCTGATCCAAAGTATTTTTGTTCAAAGAATGATCAGTTAATGTGTGACAGAATTTAATCAACAAAAGTTGACAGGGGTTGCTCATAAAAGTTGACTAGGACCAGCCAATAAAAATTGACTGTGATAAGTGCTTAAAAGTTGACTAGGGTGTTGACAGAGGTAATTGCAAAATGGGGGTAGGACAATAAAAGTTGACAATGGTGAGCTCTTTATGAGCTTACACAAAAAAGATGCATAAGATCCTAAACAGAGTATGTACTATATACTGGGAAAATAGAAATATGACATTAAATAGACAAAACCTGTTTGACTGACCAGTAAGGAAATGTAATCACAATTTTCAAGTGACTAAACTACTACATCAGACCCTTAAATGTAAACAAGTCATTCAACTCTACTTACCTGCATAAAAAATCCTGACACTAGTGCCTTTCTGATGTTTAGGTAATAGTCCCGGCTGGCGAAGTCCGTACTGGCTCGTCGAAGGTTAAACCTATCCATGATGCGGGCCAACTGCTGTCTCACGTTGTCGGCACTCTTCAGAGACCTGTAGTTCACAAAGTTGTCGTAACACCATTGGGGGTCCTCCTGGCCTGTCAAAGAGAAAATTAAATCTTATTAGAAATGGGCAGTTTCAGAGTAAGAAGGTACTACCATGTATATGAGTGGTTGTGTGAGAGCCTAAATAATGTCCCTATGAACTGGGTATAACAAAAGCTAAGCACCCATATCATGATAAAAATTCAGTCTTGACTATAGAAATGGCTTAATAGATCTACATGTCATTCAGTATAAATCTTATGAAAACTTTGTGTCTCAAGACAGTAATAGAAAGTTTAGTGGCGATTTGAATAAATAAGGCCATGTAAATTAATTAACCAAGATTTTCTTCATAAAAGGCCAATTTTTTTCATTACTCTTACAAATCAATAAATATTTAGAAATCCCACTTACATTGTTTAAAGGCATGGTAAACATTAAGCAGAGTTAGATGATCACCGTCTATGTGGGCAAATCTCATCTTGGCCTCGTCAGCAGTTTTCTTCATTTCCGTGGGTCGAACAAAGCACTGTGGGACTAAACAGGGGGGTACGGAACGGGGCCAAAACACGGCCCAGCCCCATCGCCATTAGTGACATCACATCAAGTCAATACTAAAAGGAATGTTCTAAGTTATGCAGTGCACGGATCTACTCTATACGTCCAATTGGACAGTTAACTGTTTTAATTTTAAATTTGACATTTTTCATCTTACGTGCACTGCAGAGTTAAAATCCTCAGCAAGAAAAAAAAAGCATCATTAAAATCATGTTACAAAAACATTAAAATAAAGTTGTGGTAACCAAATCAAAACAAAATGCATCTAAAATACTTCATATCTGAATTCTAAGGATTGTAAACTGAGCAAAAGAATTGATCATTTGCTCCGGATGTAACAATGGCTACCTGACAACATGGCAGTGATGGACAAAATCTCATTAGAACAGCTGCAATCACAACTGGCTATGACCATTTTGGCTAGCTGGGGGTCCAATGGAAACTCAGCCATCATGGATCCTAATTCAGTCAGCTCTCCATCGTCATCCAGAGCGGCCAAGTAGTTCAACAACTCCAAGGCTCTCATAAGGGTCTCAGGGGCTGTGCAACAAAAAAAAAACCTTGTTAGTGCTATGTTTTTCAGAGGGTTTCAAATCCCCCAAAATTTGTACATTTTTTCTTTCAGCATTTTTGTATGTTTGCAGCAAATAAAATGTCTTCAGAAACAAACTTTTACTATAATCTAATTAATTTAAACCTTAAAAACATAAGATATCAACACAAAAATATCATACCAGGTGGGTCCATGAAATCAAAATGCACCAAATCATCAATTCCAAGTTTCTTCAACTGTAGCACTACTGATCCCAGATTTGACCTGAGGATTTCAGGGTATGTATTGTCCTGCATTTCATTTTTATATGCTTTCTCTGTGTACAAACGGAAACATTTTCCCGGTTTTGTTCGTCCAGCTCGACCTGCCCTTTGCTGTGCACTGGCTTTACTAATGGCTGTTACTAAAAGAGACTCCACTCGTATTCTGGGGTTGTATACCTATGTATCACAAAATAAAATCACTTTTGGCTTCAATGACCGTTATAATGAAAGTCGGTGAACAAAGAATTGATGCAGAAAATTTTACTTCCTCATCCTAACATGGTTGATAAATGAACAGTGATGTCTCATTAAGATGTTCTGTCTGGAAAATGATGGAACTGGATTAAAAAATTCAGATCTTTGAAAGCTAAAAATCTGGACCCGCAAAAAAGAAATAAAATAGAAAAATCGTCTAGAAGTGACAGGATTATTGGCATCCGAATTACATGTAACTAGCCATCACAGTATTCAAAAGTTTAAATGTTTTTCCCCCAAACAAAGTCACTTCTTTTTCAAAAGCAGTCAACATATTAAGGTTCATCACTTACCTTCTGTTTTGCAAACCCCGGATCAATCACAAACACGACCCCGTCTATAGTAAGGGAGGTCTCAGCAATGTTGGTCGATACCACAACCTTTCTGCCTACAGCACCATTAGGTTTAGGAGGGGGAGGGGCTTCAAAAATTCTTTGTTGTAAATTTGGGGGTAGTGTGGAATACAGTGGTATACATTTCATATCCCCCACCTCTGGCCCCAAGTTGTCAATTTCTCTCTGAAGTCTTTTACAGGCCTCATCAATTTCCTGTACAGAAAACGGTTTAGAAAAAATTAGTATTTTCTATAAGAAACGTTTCTAAACAAAATGTGAAGATATTAACGAACAGTGAACATGCTCAGAAGTCCATTTGAACAAAAATAATTGTGAGCAGAACCAACACGTACCTCTAAAAAATGGAAGTAGGATATATGACCACATGCTTTTATGTATTTTGATAATGATAAATCAAAGAATTACTTTTTCTTTATTTTTTTTCACCAGCAGAAAAAAAGGTCTTTGTGAGCTCATGAAACTCTCAGGGACCTGTTTTACAAAACAACTTACGACTAGGTCTAAAAATTTTGGTTGATTGTAAAATCTTGCAAAATTAATGATTCTCTTTAAAATTGTTCGCATAAATATGTTTCAATAACTTCTTTTCAAAAAGATTCAGACCATTTTCAAATCAATGTAAAATAAAAAGTTATTTACAAAATTAAATTTTGGTCTTAGTCGTAAGTTCTTTTGTAAAACGGGCCCCTGGTGCCAGGAGGTAATAAATGCCTAAAAAGTGATCAGTGATTTTTCTACATTTTTTAAAAGGGACCTGGGCCTTTACAATTGGGAAAAATCATCGACATTTGTGTAAAATTGGGAAAAATCAATAAGATTGAAATAAACCTTAATTGACAGGTAAAACAAAATATATAAGTAAATGTAACATCATTTATTCAAAATATTTACTACAAAATAACAAATTAGACACAGTTCTACATTTTTAGCTTTTTTTTATCTTTGAAAGTTGTCATTAGTTGTGACCGTCCTATATTTCAATTCTTTTTTTTTTTTTTTTTGCCATAATGGTAGACATAAGAAAAAAATCCTACTCATAATAGCCATTGAAGATGATATAATCTGACATGATTTAAAACAAATCATTTTTCTTCTAGCTTTCTAAATCACCCTAATCATTGTGCTTCAATTACCCTGCAATATTAGTTGCATCTGCCGGGTGTAGAAACAGTTTGATTTTCATGGAATCAGGGATGCTTGTTGTAGAACTACTAGTTCTTGGATTTACAAATAAAGCTATGTTTCGCCTGTTCACATGCATCTTACACTTTCTTACGATGTATTTAGTTTGACATGATCCATGTGTTTTTCTATCTCTTGTAAATGCACAAAATGATCTGCTGTTTTTTCACTATTATTTTAAGAGTATGAATGACCGAGAGCAATAGCGTTCCAATTTAGATAAGTCGTACATAAAAAATTCAATATAACAAAATCAATAACGGTTTTTCTGGGGGGGAAAAGCAACCGAAATTGGGAAAAAATCGGTAATTTTTGATAGGGGAAAGGGCCGATATTCGGACCTAAATTGGGTGTAGAAAAATCACTGGTGATCCACAGATCAAACATCCATATCCTGCAAAAATTTCAAATTCTAAAAAAAGTCTGACCTCTTGACCTGTGAGGAACATTAAGATATCTCCAGGTCCTTCCTCACACATGTGGATCTGGATTACTGTGCGGATGGCAGCTTCCAGATAGTCTCTTTCTGCCTCCGGAGTGTAGAAGATTTCCACAGGATGTGTTCTTCCTGGCACGGTCATCAGAGGGGCATTATCAAAATAGTTCTAGAATAACAAGAAAACAAAGTAAGATTAAATCAAAATAGTTCTAGAATTAAAAGAAAACAGAGTCAGATTACATATATGAATATATGCAATTGACAGAACTTTACATATGAATTTTTAAACTTAACTTCAAAAAAAAAAATATTTTAAAGAGATGTTTCATATTTTCCAGCTTTTGACCCTTCTTGAAATTTCCAATGGCATTTCAATGAAGGTTCTTTGACCCTCTAATAAGCAAGATAACCTCACATGGAAAAATTCGTTCATATAATTGTTCGTAAGTGTAAAGATGATTTCAAATTGTGTGCATTTTAATTATAAATTTGATTTCTTTTCAAAAATCATTAACTTTAAGCAAAATTTTTTTTCAGGAGGGAACAGAGAGACGATAATCCTTAAAATTGAAACTAACTCTAATTTTACCTGAAATTTGCCTGCGTCCAGTGTAGCACTCATGATGATAATTTTCAGATCTGTCCTCTGTTTGGCCACCTCCTTTAGAAGTCCCATCAAGATGTCTGTGGCCAGTGTCCTTTCATGGGCTTCGTCCAACATGACGATGCCGTAAGCTTCTAATAGAGGGTCTGACATGGCCTCTCGTAACAACATACCATCTGTCATGTATCTGTGTCAAGAGAGAAATATTTCTTTTACACATGTACTTACTATAAAAATCACTTCCTTTACAACTATATTTTCTACAATATTTAAATTTGTATTTGTATGTCTAATATATGGGATTTTTTCTATTTCATACACTGACTTGTACCTGACTAAATATTTAGGATGGAATAAATATCTCATTTTTCACATACAGGTTCTCAGAAATAAAAAAGGTTGATGCACAAAATAAATTTCACTAATAAAGATTCACTCCTCTTTGCCCTCTTATTAATTTTTTTTCTAAAAAAAATCATGATAATACTCTATGAATCGAGTCAGGAATACACCCCTTTACACTTCAGAATGACAATATAGCAGAATGCAATTCAGTATATATTTTTATCTAAGTGCTTATAAAGGAGTATTAAAAAAGCCCATAAAATGGTATCCACTCACTTTAATAGAGTTTTAGATGACGTGCAGTCCTCAAATCGAATGCTATACCCCACTTCCTGTCCGAGCCCCACATCCATTTCCTCGGACACACGCTGTGCGACAGACATAGCTGCCACCCTCCTAGGCTGGGTACAGGCCACACCTTTCTTCTGATAGCGGCACCTAACCCACTCCAAACACCACTGTGGAATCTGTAGGATATAAAAGTAATTTAAATAAGTTATCCCACAAAAATTCTCTATTTGTCAGGTCATGACACATCTTGCTCAAGTACAGTTTGGTAAAAAAAAAAAAAAAAAATAAATAAATAAATAAATATATAAAAAAATTGTAACATTTTTAAAATGACAAACTTAGTTCTCCATAAAATTCAGCAAATATTGCATAACTTATTGCATATACGAGGGGCATTTCAGAAGTTCTGCAAACTGGTACATAAAATTTTAACTACGTTACGGATTAAAATGACTCTGATACCACTGTAAAGCTTAGGCAAATATGCATTAGTAGTGACGTCATTTAACATTCAAAATGACGTATAGGTCTGCTAAAATGACGTCATAATTAGGTATACTCTGTATACTGGGAGTAAACATAACTGATAAGGAGAACAATTTTTATGTTGAGCAAGGAGCATATTGCAAAATTTGCTCATTGCTTGGCTTTACGGCAACAGAAATAAAAGCTGATTTAGATGTAGTATATAGAGAGCATGCTCTTTCATATCGTGCAATTGCAAGATGGGTAGTTCAATTTAAAGAGGGTAGAAAATCAATTGAAGATGACCCCAGTTCGGGGCGTCCAGTCTGTGCATATGGCAAAAAAGAAATCGTCGCTGTTCAAAATACGATAGCTGATGATGCTAGATATACAGTTGAGGAAATAGCAGACTTAACTAACATTAATTCGTCAGCAGTTTTTCGTATTTTAAAGGAAAACTTAAAGCTTAGGAAAGTCTGTGCTAGATGGGTGCCGCATCTTCTCTCGGAAGAGCAAAAGCGCATCCGGGTAGAAATGGCTTCACAGTTGCTAACAATTTATGAAGATTGTGACCAAAGGCGAATAAATGAGATTGTAACTGGTGATGAAATATGAATATATTTTTTTGAACCGAAAACTAAGCTCAATAATAAAGTTTAGATCGGTGAAAATGATACAAGGCCTCAAATTGCACGCAGAAACCTGTCTGTCCGGAGAGTAATGTACGCCTTATTTTTTTATTCTAAAGGCCCTGTTGCTCAAGTTCCGGTTCCAGAACACAGCAGTGTTATTGGTCAATTTTATGCAGAGAATGTCTTGTCTCAGGTTGTAGAGCACTATAAAACGACCCGACCAACAACCAGTACTAGAGGAATAAAGCTCCTCCATGACAACACACCTGCCCATACATCAGAGGTATTAACCAAATATTTAAAGGAAAATGGTATTGCCGTTTTACCACATCCACCCTACAGTCCTGACCTAGCTCCATGCGATTTTTGGTTGAATGCCGTTATCAAAGAAGCCCTCCGAGGACGGCGATTTGAAAGTCGTCATGCAGTCGGAAGTGCCATATTCCAGTGTATGAAGCGTATACCGAAAGAGGACTATAGGGCAGCATTTTCCTAGTGGATTTCCAGACTGAAAAAGTGTGTCCAGGTCAACGGAGACTATTTTGAGGGATTGATATAATTTAATTTATGATAATGACGCTCCTTAATTTACCGCACACCAGTTGCCAGAACTTTTGAAATGTCCCTCATATTTTTAAGGGTATGTCTTCCTATTAATTATGTTGATGCATTGATACTTTTTTTTCAGAACTAAAATAAACATGATAAATATCAAGTAGTTACCTGTGTAGTTTTTCCACTACCCGTTTCTCCGACTAGGACAAGAATTTGATGGTTGTTGATGATATCGCAAAACTTTTCTTTGTATTCCCATACCGGTAGCAGCTTCCTTTTGTTCAACAATTCAAAATATCTAGGTGTGTAAGGCAAACCTAAAAAGAAACAGGAATTGTTAGATGTAGCACATGCACATTAAATCCTCTACGATTAAATGTTAGATTGCCATTACACATTTGATTAAATCTATGCTATGAACAATTGCTAATACTTCACTACAAGTATCATATTTAAATGAGTTAAATTGCAGAGAGCCAGAATACATGTATTCACAGATAATCAGACTGGACCAAGGTTCAAACCCGGGCTCCTGAACTCTAGACACATCCTCCTCCGAGCTATTTGGCCATCAGCGAACAAACCTACCTGATGGTCACATGGGATTTTCAAGTTTTCAATTTGTTGTGCACTATCTCCTTTTCCACAAATATTTACATGAACAGGGGAGAGGCTGAAGAAAACTGTTTTAGAATGAAACATTATTTTCAAAAAATTAGATTTTGGCAGTACTCACCTGTAAATGGGTTCATCTGTATGGTGGGTTTGGCAATTCCAAACTGTTCAAATACCGACTTATAAGCCTTCTCATCTTTCTTCTCTCTATCATCATCTCTAAAATATGTCATAAGGTATGCAAGTGATAGATATAAAACATAAATATTGGGTACTGGCAAACCAAAGCTTAACACTTCATTGCTTATATATATCAAATCCTACAATCATTGTAGTGCAATGTTTGAAGATGGTGTGGGTTAAGATTTATTTGTTCTCAAGACTACTGCCTCTGTGACAACCTGTCTAGTTACTTTTTACTCCATTTTTAATTAATGAATCATTAAATATCATTAATTAGATTAGATCAGCATTATTTCTTTACCTGCTCCGTTTAGTTTGCGAGTCACCGACGTCTATGCGGTGTCTCTTCGACATTTTGTCGTTTGAAATCTCTAATTCTCAAATATCCGTCCAGAAAGCGTGCTCTATAATCTTCAGGCATTGTGGGTAAACATTTTCGAGTTTGAGAATAAGGTAACCCTTACCCGGATGTTGAAAGCATTTTGAAGACTTCCGGTTTGAGATAATCAAAACAGTGCCATGTGTCTCGGGGTCTGACAACTAACATTGTGAAGGTTTCGGTGAAATAAGTCGCGATGTCTGACGACACGCTGTCGTTTCATGAGATGGGGCTTGATGACAGACTCTTAAAGGTATGAACAGCCAGTAAAATAATAGTTACATTTAAGTAAATGATGATTTTTGATAGAATCCATTTTTAACAAGTTTTTGATGAAAATTTGTAATATTGAAAGAAAAAAATGTGCGAACATCTGACTTGGTCATTTATAATCATATTTAATTTTATGTACATTATGGGATAAAGTAAAGGTGGTCAGAAGGTGGGTAAGGTTGCACAGTTAAGTTTTAAACAAGACATTTACATGTTAAGAAGGGTGTCTGTGAAGAAGCATAATTTATTTTTAGGAAAATCATAGAAGTCCCCAGGACTTTAACATATATAAAGAGTATGTACAAAAAAATTTGTGCAAATATTCTGTATTTACCGTATGTTTATTACAAGATGCCAAAACCTTTATCTATACGCTTCTTTACTTAGGTCTGTGTGTTCAATCCACGCAAGACATTCGGAAAGTTAAAGGAAGCACTCAATCTACACTGTGACACTCATCATTTGTGTGTTAGTTGCATTTCCCTAACAGAGTCTAAAAAATGCAATTTTTTAATGAAGAGAGTTTTAGTTACTATTTATCTGCAATTTCTATTAAAGGAAGGAATTTCTTTGTTACATGCATTTGTGAAGTTTTGTTTGGCTATCTAGAGAACTTAGTTTGGACAACATAATGCAGTTCATGTTGTCCTATGAGCTAGCTCATAAATGTCAATTTGTTAAACAAGTGCAATTTTGTTTTTCAGTTATCCCTCTTTGTATATATTGCATGTTTATGTTGTCAAGATAAGGCTATTCTTGGCCATGATACACAGCATTTGAAATGTTTACAGGATGGGAAAAAAGTAGATAATTTATTGCAGGAAAATTAATAGATCATTTAAAATTGTAAATATTTGCAGGCAATTTCACATCTGGGTTGGTCTGAGCCAACCCCAATACAAGAAAAGGCTATTCCACTTGCTTTGGAAGGAAAGGATATTTTGGCTCGAGCCAGGACGGGGTCAGGAAAGACTGCAGCATTCTGTATCCCTGTTATACAGAAAATACTGACAGCAAAACAGGTAAATCCCTGTCATACAGAAAAACAGGTGAATCCCATGGTAAAACAGGTCAATCCCTGTCATACAGAAAATACTGACAGTAAAACGGGTCAATCCCTGTCATACAGAAAATACTGACAGCAAATCAGGTCAATCTCTGTCATACAGAAAATACTGACAAAAAAAACAGGTCAATCCCTGTCATACAGAAAAACAGGTGAATCCCATGGTAAAACAGGTCAATCCCTGTCATACAGAAAATACTGACAGTAAAACAGGTCAATCCCTGTCATACAGAAAATACTGACAGTAAAACAGGTCAATCCCTATCATACAGAAAATACTGACAGCAAAACAGGTCAATCCCTGTCATACAGAAAATACTGACAGCAAAACAGGTCAATCCCTATCATACAGAAAATACAGACAGCAAAACAGGTCAATCCCTGTCATACAGAAAATACTGACAAAAAAAACAGGTCAATCCCTGTCATACAGAAAAACAGGTGAATCCCATGGTAAAACAGGTCAATCCCTGTCATACAGAAAATACTGACAGTAAAACAGGTCAATCCCTGTCATACAGAAAATACTGACAGTAAAACAGGTCAATCCTTGTCATACAGAAAATACTGACAGCAAAACAGGTCAATCCCTATCACACATAAAATACTGACAGCAAAACAGGTCAATCCCTGTCTTACAGAAAATACTGACAGCAAAACAGGTCAATCCCTATCATACAGAAAATACTGACAGCAAAACAGGTCAATCCCGTCATACAGAAAATACTGACAGCAAAACAGGTCAAACCCTATCACACATAAAATACTGACAGCAAAACAGGTCAATCCCTGTCTTACAGAAAATACTGACAGCAATACAGGTAAATCCCTGTCATTCAGAAAATACTGACAGCAAATCAGGTAAATCCCTGTCATACAAAAAATAATTATTACAGTTATTACTGTTAAACAAGTAAATTTCAAATTACCCCTGTCACACTTACACAAATACATGTACTGACAAAAAAGTACCAGTAACTAAAATAGGATGTGAATCAAACCAAATATTGTTATCAGATTTTATAGATTTAACATTATTTAGATGACAGAGAGACCTTTTCTAGCAAAAATAGTAGTAGGCTTGAGAACATGGTTGTCTATACTATTGGTCAATACTAGTTGACATACATGTGTCCCTTATTCAAGATGGACAAAAAACCCCCCATTAATTTCTCTAGCTATTTCTGTCATACATAAAACATTGAATTTCTATCACTGCTGTTTTTTAAGAGCAGAAATGATATTTTTGTTCTTTACATGAATGAAATTCTCTTTTCTAGACAAGTGCAGAGCAATCAGTCAAGGCATTGGTGCTGACACCAACTAAAGAATTATGCCACCAAGCTTACAAAAACTTAATGGTGAGAGATTATTATGTATTTGTAATTTTCTGTGAAAGAAGATCAATTCAACGGGTATTTTATTGATCCACATTTACATGATATGGCAGAGAGTTATTTACTGTTTCCAGAACAATATCAATTAGTTTATTTGTAGTTTTTTTTTTTTTTTTTTTTTGATGTTTTGGGAAATTGACTTGTAATTGTGTATACTTTAAATCAATGTCTTGCTTGTATAGGAGCTAACATCCAGCTGCTCTAGAGAAGTCCGAGTCCTTGACATATCCCCTCAGGTGCCTCTACCTACCCAAAAGTGAGCTCTTCTTTAAACTTTACTATCAGTAAATACAGTAAAACTTGTATGATCTGGATGTTGTGTATTTCAAAATCTTGCCTATTGTATGATGAAAACTTTTAGACCCTTTCAGAAAATTCATTTGTTTAAAATGTTGTCTAATCTGGCAAATTTCTATGGAACTAGTGTGTCTGGATTAGACAAGTTTTACTATATATATAGATTTCAAATCAAAAGCAACAGCTCATGCTAATTTGCAACAAGTAAACATGTGACTTAAATGGAATGTAACAAACAAGTTTTAACATCATCTTTCATTTTCTTTTAAAGAAAGAGATTCCCTCAATATTTTTTTTAGTGAGGAAAAAAGCAAGAGTACAGAGTGTTCTTTCTATAATCACATGATCATTAAAAAAATAACAAACACTGCAGAAAACTAATGTACAATTCCTGTGTTCCTAGCTAAAGCTTAATGTAATAACTGTACCTTTTATAATACTGTGTTTTTCTCATATTTCATCAGTCTCAAGCTGAATGTTCAAAGATTTTATTATTCCAATAATAATTACTGATAAATTAATAAACCTTTTTTGTCTGTCATTGTCTTACAGACCCATGTTGATGGAGAGACCAGACATTATTGTAGCCACGCCCACCCGAGCTTTGGCCCACATCAAAGCTGGTAACCTTGACCTTAAACAGTCATTAGAGTTGTTGATTATTGATGAGGCTGATTTACTCTTCTCATTTGGATATGAGGATGATGTGAAAGGAATTCTCAGGTGAAGATTTTGTTTCCTAAAGTGTTTTTTTGATTTTGTTTATTTCATTAAAAAAACTGAGGTAAAGGGAAAAAATCATCTACCGGAACATTAAGTTCAGACAGCAGGAATATATGGAAGTGAGTTGGTGATCCAAATCAAAAAAGATTTGAGGTCCTAGTGACTTGCAACACAACTCTGATATTTTGAATCATCAGATATCTCTTAAAGTTTTTTGATGTCTAAACATGTTCAAGTTGTTGATCTTGGCTTTATTTGTGTACATCCTATTTTTAGGCTTCTCGTATAGATGTAGGAATAGGGATACAGTAAAAACCTGTTTATAAAGAACTCACTTTAGAGGGAAATCTAGGTTGTAAAGAATATTTTATGAATCTTGTAGAAGACTCTGCACTATGTTCTTTATACAGATGTAAAGAATTTTGGTTACAAGAAAGCTAGATTTGAGGTCCTAGTGACTTCTTCATAGCTGAGTTTTACTATATATCTGATGATTTTCCCCAATCTGAGTCAAATTTTCACAACCATTCACTCAACTATTTTGCTTTAAAACACTGAACTAAAACTTACTTCATTACTTTACTTCATAACAAAATACATGTTATGTAGTCATATTTATTTCCAAGAAGAATGTGCATCCATTACAACAAACTGAAATATTTGTTCAAATGCCTCAGTTGTCTGCCTTTCATTATTTTGGTTGAGAGTACATTGTAATAATACTTTGCATTACATGTACCAGTGTTTCACCTGTAAAACTGTCCATTCCTCATTATTTCTTTTCTTTCAGTCAGCTCCCAAAAATCTTCCAGGCTTTCCTGATGTCTGCCACTCTGAGTGAGGATGTCCGAGCTCTGAAGAGGATGGTCCTCCATAATGCTGTGAGGAAAATAGCTTACACTGACACAATTTAATTAAGATTTCTGTAGATTCCTTATTTTATAGGAGTACTGACTCATAGGCCTCAAATTGCCAAAATATGAATTTGCAAGTTGATTGTTAAACAATAGCTTTTACACATATTTCGGCAAAAAATAAATGAAAACATGTATTTTTATTTTGTGAGTGAAGATTATGATATTCACTTTAAGTTTCACAAATATTTTACTGGGCGGTATATATAATTAATAGGGATGGCAATTTGTAACCGGTTAACTGATAACTCGGTCGGAACGATGGCAATCGATTAGAAAATCTGTAATCGGTTAATCGGAAAAAATAAAATATTTGTTAAATTGAACACATTTTTAAAAAAAATTATTTTAAAAAGAGAAATCTCTGCACAAAGAATGATCATTTAGGATTTAACGGATCTAATTTTGACGTACATGTAATTATGAATCTCCAGATTGAGACCGTAGCGTAATTGGTCAGTTTATGTAGTGTTAATTACTGTGAAAACACCATGTCGTTATCCCGACTGTCCTGTAATTCTTTAATGATAATTGAATCATTGAGCACTGTGAATTGGTGTATTTGTTGTTTTCAGTTTTCAATCCAATTTAATTATTAAACAAACATTGTAAATTAAGGGCTAGAGTTCACATGTAGTTTTGATAATCATAGTGAAAATGCAGAAATAACTTTTGTGACATCTGCTCTGGAAAATTATCAAATATTCCTTACGCTTTTTTCATGGTTTTCTCAATTTTATCTTGACTAAATGTCTACTCAAATTTAAATAAAAAATATGTACCCGTAGTTTTCTGATCCAGAATCAAGACTAATGGAATGTTTTAACTTCTATCATCTTATTTGGGTCAAGAAAACATGCATTTTGATACGATTAACCGTTTAATCGGTCGGAACGTCTTATGGTTAACCGATTAGCAATTCTGTAATCCATTGCCATCCCTAATAATTAACTGTCAGTGTTGAACTTTTTCTAAAAAATGGAACAGAATATTCTACATTATCACACAATGTGTTCTGAAATGCTGATAACCTATTTCTAACTGTAGGTGATATTGAAACTTGAGGAATCACAACTTCCTGAGGCATCACAACTGACCCAATATCACATCAAGTAGGTGACTGGTTAAAGTCTTTCCTTTTACAGTTCTTATTCAGTTTAGTACTGTGGAACATCATTATCTTGAATTCCGAATACAATGGTTTTGTCAAAGTGAGTTTGAATTCCCAATCTCTTTTCTTGATATATTTTAACCTCAATATCTAGAATCGGTGGATATCTCAAAGTTTTTTCTTAGTCCCACCAGATTCAACATAACAAGGTTTGAGTGTGTGTTTTTTCTCAAGTGAAGATGCTATATCTTGTTCAATTTTAAATTTTTTGTCTCATTATTGGTATTTTGTGTTTTTAAGAATCCAGTTTTCTTCATTTGTGCTATATTTTATGAAGACAAGCATTGGACAGGTGTTAAATGAAGTCAAGTCTACAAGAAAATATATCTAATTCATATTAAAGTATTCCTCATATTGAAAGATATACCAGTAATTTGTTTTATAGACATTGAAATATGATTAATATGAAAGAAATATTTATTTCATAAGAAGTATTTATTTCATAAAAAAAAGTCTTTCAAAAATGACTACCAGTAATTTTACTGATTTACTCCAATGATCTATACATCAATATTTTATGTTTCAGATGTGAAGAACAGGATAAATTTACTTTAGTATATGCTCTTTTGAAATTAAATTTACTGCGGGGGAAGTCTATAATCTTTGTTAACGAGGTCAACAGGTGTTACAAGTAAGTAAATTTAATTGTTATGGTGGTTTGTAAAAGTTAATCAACAAGAATCTCTAATAAATAAAAGTCTCACTTTTTTTCTCTCTCTCTTTCTAAATATCAGTGGGCATTGCAATGAAAACTGCAATTTCAACCCCTTCCACCCAATTTTTATACCAGTTGATCAACATTTTGTGTTTCTAAAGGTCTAATGCTAAAGGTCTTGATCCCCCATAGTTCCCTAACAATTTGAAGCAAAATAGATACTTCTTTCAAATTTTTTTAGTGCCCTTAAAATTTGGAATTCTTTTGAACCCATTCAGGATGACTTGAAATATACAAGTTATTCTGATGTCAAATCTATTATTTTCAGATTGAAATTATTTCTAGAACAGTTTGCAATACCAGCTTGTGTGTTAAACTCTGAACTTCCAGTTAATTCTAGGTATGTATATCACAAGCTTTATGATACAAAGATTTTCAAATTTAGTTCTGTTATAAGTAATGATTCAGGAAGTAGATGAAATCTGGTCCTCTGATTGTTACAGATGTCACATTGTGAACCAGTTTAATGATGGACTTTATGACATCATCATAGCATCAGATGAAAACCTGCTTATGGATCCAAAGGCTAAGCCACAGGAACAAGAAAAGATAAAGGAAAAAAAGTAAAGACTATTCAATGAAACTGAACAAATGTTCTGGTATAATGAAAAATTAAAATTTTTGTTGAAGAATAACATGAATAAAGTAGTGTATATATTCTGTTATTTATATTTTTATGTTTAGACCTAAGAAGAAAGACAAAGAATATGGAGTCTCAAGAGGAATTGATTTTCAGAACGTTTCCAATGTGATCAACTTTGATTTTCCCCGTGATGTTGATACATACATTCACAGAGTGGGAAGGTCAGAAATTTGAAATCAACATTTCATTAACTGAAAAAAGAAAAATTTAAATAAAAATCTCTCAAAATTGTTAAATTGATGAGAAATATTTTGTTTCAAGATCATTCTGTACAACAGAGTTAACCAAGATTTGTTCAGACAAGTTTATGAAGGGTTAACTCACATTGTCTCCACACTGGGTTTTTAACAACATTGTGATTAACTTGGATGAGGATCTTGGTATTTCACAATAACATTATATTGTAAAAGTTATATTAACTCGACACCACAAGAATATCAGTGTAAACAAACATAGATTAAGTGTTTTGGGTAAATCTAGATAAAGTTGATGCAGATTATCTTGCACTGATGTGGACCAGCCCTGATAGATGTACATTTACAGTTCATTACTTACATATACATACAACAGTGGGCCACAGTCATCAGAACTGAATATGAAGTACTTACTAGATGGTTGCTTCGTAATGCATGTATTACAAGAAATAAAAACAATTTCATTTTTGCCTTTAAATTTTGTACGATCCATAAGTGTAAAATGCATTCATCATTTTCATGTGCTTTTTGCAAATCTTGCTTTTTATATTGCTTGGCTTAAATGTAATTGAAGTAGGCAATTACCAAAATGCCCATTATAACATTTTGTTATGTTTATTGCATATTTAGGACAGCCCGGGGAGGTAACCAAGGTAACGCCCTGTCCTTTGTCAGTGTCAAGGACATTGAATTACTAGGAGAAGTGGAGAAGGCTTTGTCTGAGTCTGGCTGTGAGTATTCCCTAATTGTCTCTCAATTTTACAGATCAATCACAGGAAAGCCTGCTAATTAGAAAGTTTAGTTGTTATTTTAAAGAATTCAAACTTTTTTAAACCATGGCCACCTGGATATCAATGTTTTATTTTGCAAGTACCTGTAATGTGAATTTTAAAAAATCCCCTCAATAAGAACAGTAGTGAAGATTCAGCTTACACAGTGTGGTTCATAAAAGATTGTCAGATGAAACTTCATTGACATTTAAGGACCATGGACCTTTGGCTTTGTTGGGGCTACACGAATTACTTTAAGATCATTTTTTTAAACACAGTGTCCAATTTAATTTGCAAGACACAATATTCAAGTCAATGAAAAATGGAAGGAATTTGTAGAAAATTTATGATATAATTTTTTTTTACAGCTGGGGAGGAAAGTGTCTTTAAGCCGTATAATTTCAAAATGGATGAGATAGAAGGATTCAGATACAGGGCAAAGGTAATCACAAGCAGGAACTACAAGTGCTTTAAGAAATCCTGGAAGTTCCTAACACCATAATTTTATTTGAGGATCATTCTTAAGCACTTTGAACAGCTTTGAATTTTTTTTTATTGAAGAGGGTAGTGCAAGTTTTTGTAAAGCATTATTGCCACTTTAATTCATGTTTATTCACTTCATCCAAATTCTGTCTCAGCTTTACTTTCACTGTTGATTATCACTGTTTTTACAATTGAACAATGCCATGCATGTAAGGAATAATCGGAATTGAATAATTAGGGATTAACAATGCTGAAATTTGGAAATGAAGCTAAAATAGAGTTGTAGAGAAGGAATAGAAAAATTGAGCAAATTCAAAATGGTTATAATTATATTTGATACATTTTTTGATCAATGTTGGCTATAATTTTCTATACTATTCAAAATACTTAATTGAATTGATGTAATTAAATTTTGACATGACCAAAATTCAATAATTTAGAATGAATCAAATATTTTTCAACATGTTTTTTTGTTCACTAGGATGCAATGAGAATGGTGACAAAAACAGCAATAAGAGAGGCCCGATTGAAAGAAATCAAACAGGAGATGCTGGCATCCAACAAACTGAAAGTAAGGTCAAAGTTCAAATAAACTGAAAGTAAGGTCAAACTTCATATGTCACAAGTTCATTTTAGAGTAGTGTATGTTAAAATAAGTGTAACAATGGGATTTGTTCTCTTTCAGACATATTTTGAGGATAATCCTCGTGACCTCCAAGTTTTACGACATGACAAGAGTCTTCACACAATCCAGGTACAGAAACATCTCAAAAACGTGCCGGATTATCTAGGTAGGTGTTCTTTGCATTTAGGAATTTGTGCATTTAAAAGTCAGATGCATGTAATTAATAAATAAAGGTCTAAGAATTCTACTGCTTACTGTTTGCAGTTCCTAAAACTTTGAGACACATGCGCGGCATGTCTTCAAAACCAGGAAAATCAAAAGGGAGGAGGAAAAACTCTGCACAAAAAGGACCAACACGAGCAGAAATTAAATACAAGGTATTAAATAAAGATGGAGTAAATCTTTTAATTGATATTCTGAGATTAAAATTCTCCCTCTGCTAGTACAAGTTTGGTTTTATTTCGATGAAAATTAATTGATACAAGTTCAGCAAATACTATGATCTTGTCAGAGATGTCTAGTTATACATGTAGGTCAGGTTCTTTTTTTTTTATTTGGTAATTAACTTTCAAATTAAGATTATGAAATCTATGATTTTTTTGTCAAAAGGACATTTTGAGAAGAAATGTATATATCTCTTTATTATTAAACCTTTTATTGACAGAAAAGGAAAGCTGACCCCTTGAGAAGTTTTGAATCAGCGGGTGTAGTGGGTGGGGGCAAGAAGAAAAAGAAGTCCTAGTATTGTACTCTACTTTTATAAATAAATGTTACTTGTGTTAAAATTAATACATGTTTTTCTGTTGTTTATGCATTCATTCACTGACCAAAGCGAGATAGAATACCATGTTTTCGCCAAATTGCCCCTTGTATGAGGGAGTGCATATATACTTAGTTATGTGAAAGAATCAGCTGTGAGTCAAGTTTAGGGGGGACCTACTGTCATATAAAGTATAAAATCATACTTCATTTACTGATACATATTGGTGAGAGCTATTCAACTCCATCAACATTTTTTGACCTTGATCTTTTCTTTGACCCTGACCTCACCTTTCAAAAATATCTGTTTGGCTAAGTTTCAAAATGGCTATTTAAGATATTTTTTAAAACTCTATAAGCTGATACATGTACATATTGGAGAGAGCTATTCAACTTTAACGTTTTCTTAAATCTGTGTTTAGTTAAGTTCCAAAAAAACTATTTAAGATATTATTATCAAACCTTATATATGCTGATACACATTGGAGAGAAAGCTATTCAACTTCAACATTTTTTTTACCTTGACCTTTTCTTTGACCCTGACCTCACTTTTCAAAATGTTAGCTAAATTTCAAAGAAATTATTCAGGATATTTTTATCAAACTTCATATGCTGATACATATTGAAGAGAGTTATTCAACTAGAAACACCTTTTTTGACCTTGACATTTCCCTTCACCCTGAACTCACTTTTTAAATTTGTGTTTAGCTCAGTTTCAAAGAACCTATCAAGATATTTTATCAAACTTCATATGCTGATACATATTGGAGAGAGAGAGAGAGCTATTTTACTTCAACATCTTACCTTTCCCTTGACCTCACCTTTCTTAAATCTGTGCTTTGTTTAAAAGAAACATTCAACTTACTTTTATAAAATTCATCTCAAATATCCCTGCAATTGTTTTTAATTTGTCATTAAAGAGAGTGGGATACCCCCTTCCCAATCACCACCATCATCACCACACACAGGCAGATCCATTCTTTTTTGTCAACCTTTTCTAGGGAAAAAATAAATAATCTGTTGTCATCTTGGAAATAAATATTTTTTTCCTGCAATGGCATGAAAATAAATAATCTGACTCCGTAAAATTTACAACCCACCTCAGGACTCTAATTGGCGACTAATTAAGTCACCTTGGCGCCTAAAATTTTTGATTGGCGCCTAGAAATTTTTCCATAAATCGCCAAATTGGTGACCATTTTAAATTGACTTGGTGATCGTCGAATTCTGGAACTTTTAACATTTTTAACAATTTTTGTTTTTCTGAAGACATTTAAAAGAGGAAACTATTTTTAGCAATGGACATGTCGTGTTTTCTTGGTCACATTTTTGTTTTTTTAGTAAGCACACATATGAACAAAATTTCACGTCCTATCATGGGTCCCTATATTGATTACTATTAACTTTTAAAGTTGGTGCCTAAAAAAAATTGCCAGGCGACTAAAAATTTGCATTGGCGACTAATTTTTTTTGATAAGCCACCAGCTGGCGCCTTAATTTTAGAAGTCACTTACAGGGTCTGCCCCTGTCCCCTTCCTCGGAATAAAATGGTTGCCCTCTAACCATGCACTTTTTTTTCTTTTTTTATTGCTAACTTCATCTGTGTAACTTCATGTGTTGATGTATTGTAACTTAGATTTATTTCATTATCAAATCAGCATTTCCAACTTTCAATCATATTGTATCTGGATTTGTAGACAGATTAAAATAAATATGAGGTATATGCCTCAGGTATAGGCTTTAGACATTACAAATGTGAAACACATCTTTTCACGGAAGATTCTTACTTGACTTTTGATTTCAATTTGTTATGCTTATGATTTAATACAAAGTTTACATCTCAAATAGAAGGTTAAAAAATACAACTAATAAGAAATGTTTCTCGTGTGGCAAAACTGAAATAGAAGAATCTGAAAGGGGGGGGGTCATCTACTCCATAGAGGATACCAGTGTATAATTTTGATATCTGTCACTCAAAGAATATACAAGATAATGAGCAGACAATATTTTCCTATATTCAGAGTAGTCTGACCCTTGACCTTGTAACCTCAAATTTATAGTGATCATCTACTCCTTATTGGGTAAAATTGTACCAAGTTTGATGTCTGTCAAGTAAAGTGTTTTTAAGATATTTAAGGACAATATCTTTTTTTTAATGTCCAAAGTAGTTTGACCCTTGACCTTGAGCTAAAAATCAATAGACATCATTTACTTTTTAGGGGTACCAGCTCAGTGTACTAAATTTTATGTCTGTCAAGCAAAGGGTTCTCAAGTTATTGAGTAGACATTACTTGGACTACCAGTTGACAGAATAACAGACCAACTAATATGTTCCCATTTTTCCCACAGGGGCATAAAAAATAAGTAAAACAGAAAAAAACTAGATATTATTGAGATGGTGCCCATCTCAAAGGGCCCCACTTTCAGTAACGAACATGAAAATGTAAGGTAGCCTATTTTTGACCTTGACCTAGAACCTTCGTTCAAGGTCACTGCACATCTATTGACCAGTGGTACTCTGTGAGTGAAGTATGAGCCACATTGAACCAAGGGGAGAGAAGATATGCTCCGGACAAGGATTTTTCATATAATTCTGCTAATGACCTTAACCTTAGACCTAGAAACATGGTTCAAGGTCATTGCACACCCTTTACCCAAAGGCACTCTGTGGGTGAAGTATGAGCCAGATTGGGCCAAGTAGAGAGAAAATATTTTTGACCTTGACCCTTGACCTAGAAACTTCATTCAAGGTCACTGCACATCCATTGACCAGTGGAACTCTGTAAAGTATGAGCCACATTGGACCAAGGGGTGAGAAGATATGCTCTGGACAGGATTTTTCATATAATTCTGCTATGACCTTAACCTTAGACCTAGAAACATGGTTCAAGGTCACTGCACTCCCTTTACCCAAAGGCACTCTGTGGGTGAAGTATGAGCCAGACTGGGCCAAGGAGAGAGAAAATATGCTCCGGACAAGAGATCTCGGACAGACACTAGACGGACGGACAGACTGATCACTATAGGGCGCCCGCAGAGCAGGGCCCTAATAAACTATAACCTTCCTATGCAATAAAAACATGTAAATAATTTTTTTGACATAATTTATTATGACTTTGAATTTAATTGTTTTAAATTTCACAAAGACATAAAATATTATAATAACAGTCTTTTCTATCTATGAAGGTCACACCCTCTGAATAAAGTCACAAATAAATGTTGACATTTTAAAGTTCTTGCTAAGGTAGTGGTAGGTAATCCAACACTTTAAATTCTATGGCTGAAAAATAAGAAGGTATCAAGTCTATTAAAAAATTACATGCTGATAAAATATGTTTTCAGATGAAAGGCATGATCAGCTATGAAACCTGTAAATTCTTTATTTTGTTCCTCGGTTTCAGTCCTCGGTCCACTCAAATGGCTCTGGGGGCTCTGGCTCCTCCTCTTCCTCAATCTTTGGTCCTCCAGCTAAAAACAAAACAGATATAAATTCATTTCTCACAGACAAAATGAATGATGCAACAGGAAAAACAATTTCAGAAATTCCTAGCACTTTTAGGCTAGGTAATCTTGTGGTAAGTGTTGCATTCACTTTCAACATCAGGAAATTGAACTTGTTTGACTTGAACCTTTTGGATGCCAACCCAAAACCACAAAGTCAAAAACTCTTATTTTAATCAACGGGAGGTTTAAAACAAATAGGTTTTTTTTCTGACAATGTCAGTAAAATTATATGCAATTAAAAGTTTTTCATATAACTAAAAAACAACAAAGTTATAAAAGGCCTGGCAATCTGCTAATGTTTGTCACCTTGACCTTTTAACCCCAAGTTTGAACAAGTAGCATAAAACACTGGTGTCTCTATGTAGTTTACAAGTCCATATATTTTAAGTTTGAATAAACACAGGGTTCGTACATCCCAGCATCATTTTCAAGCACTTTTCAGTACTGTTACCTTTAAGACAATTTTTTAAGTAATATTTATGCACTATTGCATGATACAACGATGCAAATAGAAAATTTTACATAGTTTTTGTCCAAAAAATTCTTACCTCATTTGATCTCCATTTATGTTTTTTACCCAACATTTTCTAATTGATAATACACATACTAGTACACATAAATCAAACACAATTTTTTTTCCTTTTTTAAAATTTTTGTTTTTATAGCAGCCCATGATCAGAATTCAAGCACCACTGTTAAAAACTCAAGCACTGAACATGCAAATATAAGCACTTTTCCATGACTTTTTGCTCTTTAAGCACTTTTCAAGGACTGGGTCAAATTTCAAGCACTTTTCCTGGTTTGGTTCACTTAGAAATAACTGACCTGCTACTGGTTCTATAATTTCCTCTTGTTCTCCTGGTTTGCTATTCCTCAGCAAGATAATGCCTCCATGTGTCACCTACAATCAAAGAATTAGTATTATATGTCATATGCCATATCTAGATAATGCCTCCATGTGTCACCTACAATCAAAGAATTAGTATTATATGTCATATGCCATATCTAGATAATGCCTCCATGTGTCACCTACAATCAAAGAATTAGTATTTTATGTCACATGTTATATCTAGGTAATGCCTCCATGTGTCACCTATAATCAAAGACTTATTATTATATGTCACACAAAGAGAATGTCTACATGTGTCATCTACAATCAATGCAAAGAATTACTAATATATGTCACATCAAGATAACGCAAATAATGATAATCTTTAATAAATGATAAAGATAATCCACATGTCACCTACAAACACAGTGTCAGTATTATATGTTGCACATGCTACATCAAAATGTCTCCAAGTGTCACTTACAATCCAAGTATTATATGTCACATATGTCACATCATGACATGTGTCACCTACAAATACAATGTCAGTATTATATGTCATATCAAGATGAAGCCTCCATGTGTCACTTTTTATCATGTAAAATGTATTAAACAAGTCGAGAAAGTAAGCCAGTTCTTTGAATAGATTAAAATGCTCTAAAATACAATTTTTAAGAATTAACATAGTGTTCAAGTTTCTTAAAACTATTTTTCAGCAGATACATGTATACAGTAAGTTGTCAATGGCTGCTTAGAATTTATTCTACTGCTCATTCTAGATATAAAATGTTCTGAATAATATAAAAAGATTAGTATAAAAATTTTGTGTTATCTTTAAGCAAGGTGGTGTGTTTTGGTTCAATTTGCTTGTTTGTCTGTTAAATCTTTTAGAAAAAATCATCAAAGATGGACCTTAAATCAGGCAGTACATGTAAGTGGCCAAGGGAAAATCTGAATTAACACAGCTATTTAATTTTCAAGTAGAGAAGAAACTGTAATTGTTGATAAATATTTGTCTACTTCCTGAACACTTTAACTCATTGAAGAATTGCCACACTTAGCCCAAAATAGATACAATTTTCAATTTCAATTTTCTGAAACACCACAAAACCTGATAACTGGCAACAAATTTTATACAAATCAGATCGTTTGCTATTTTCAGCATGTAGTAGGACCCTTTACTATGTTTTTTGTTACCCGAGGTTAATGTCTAAAAGTTAGCTCAAGACTGGTATCTATGACAACTGTCAATATGTTGAGGATAAACTGACCAGCCTTCAGTAAATGAAAGATAACAAAAAAATAATTGTTGCAAGCTATTCATTCAACAATGCTTCATGAAATAAATTAATCATGCTCAACTCTGAAACATTTTACCAATATGATGTTATTTAAAGAAGAGAGATTAAGGCTTGTTCACTGGCCCCTTTAAAGCATTCCTAGCCATAGTTCTTATTTCTGTTCAGAATATTTCTATCCAGCTAAAATACTCTTGTATATATAAAAAATACTCTGCATCTATATCTTAATCACTTTCTTGTAAGAAAATTTTTGGATCCACCCCTTTCTTGTTTACCTATAAAATGCTTATATAATGTATATACATATACTTACATCCTTAACAGGTACATATCTGCTTGTCTCTGGCATTACCAACACCTTCAGCTAGAATATAAGAAAAATCACGTTCATAAATAATAATATTCCTTGAGGTCTTGTATTTAGTTAAAATTCTATTATTGATAATTTGAAGAATCTTTTGTTCCTTATGTGTAAGTAATGTTGAGAAAAATTTCCCTTCTCTGCAGAAGGGAATAATTATACAAGAGTTAATCTTCTTAGGAAACCATATCAATCACAAATTAATATCATACATGTAATACAGCAATATATACAGCACACATAATCGAGTACCGTTTATCAGCTATTACATCTTGTTCATGCCATTGTACTTAATTTCTCTTAAGCCAAAAAGCATAAACCATGTGATATGTTGACTGACTTATGCTTTACCTTGCACTAATAACATTTCCATGACAGAATTACATATCCTCTTTTCCGACAAAATCTCCAATTCATTAACTTTTAATTTTTGCAGCATGACATGTGTTTATACAACTGGGAAATTCATCCTTATGTTAGCCAAGAAATCAACCAATTCCTTTATTCTGCTTTTTTTCTTCATTGAAAACCAAGTTTGTTGAACTCTGGCCCAGAATTAACTTGGAAGTGAGCTTCCAACAAAAACTTGTATACAGCTTTTTATAGACTCCTGTTGTGAAACGCAAGGATGACCAAGTACAAAATACAGGTGTCAGGTATTACATTTTTTAAAATGTACCAGACACTGCACATAAATCTATCTCGAAAAATTCTATTCAGAAACTGTTGATATGATAAAGTTCTGGTCTCTAGTTTTTTTTTTTTTTACACACAAGTACAAGTACCTCCTCTTCTTATTGTTTGTGTCAGTAGCCCTTATCATCAACATACTACATGAATAAGGCACCTCAACCAGTAGAAATATGTAAACCAGTGCTTTTTTCTTTACTGAATAATAGTATGATGGTACATGTATTTGGTATGCATAATCAAGATTGCAAATACATGTAGCTAACATCCAATTTAAGTATGATACTTATCCATGTGTTTATCACCATCCTGGCAAGATTAATTATCCAACATGTATGTAAAAAATTTTACTCTAAAATTTACCTGAGCTTTTTATTACACTCATCTGAGTTTTTTTTCCATTTGTGTGAGGAAAACTTAAATCAATTGCACTGAACTTTAAGGATCCTGTCTATACAATGTCTGGCTACAGTAATCTGTTATTGTACTATCTCAGCTTTTCATCATCCTTGCATGTACCTGAGCTTTCATCACTCTAAAGATATTACCCAACAATTTCATCACTCTAACATTTACCTGAATTATTCATCACTATATTACTTAGCTGACCTTTCATCACTTTGCAGTACATGTAGTATCTATTATATACAAGAATTTTCATCAGTTTGTGGTACTTGGGCTCTCATCAGCTTGATGAATTTAATATTCATCTAAAATATACATCTTTAACCTTCACCAAATGGAATTACAGTGAAACTTGTCTAATCTGGATGTTGTATAATCCAAAATCTTGCCTAATATAATGTTAAGTTTAAGTCCTTTTCAGTAAATTCATTTGTTTAAAATGTTGTCTAATCCGGAATGTTGTCTAATCCGGCCAATTTCTTTGGAATGAATGGTGTCCGGATTAGACGTTTTACTGCACCTAACAATGATATCTTATCATCAAATGGAATTACCTAACAATGATGTCTTAGCATCAAATGGAATTACCTAACAATGATGTCTTATCACCAAATGGAATTTCTACCAATGAAGTCTTTACACCAAATGAAATTACAGTAAAACATGATTATAACCAAGTGCCAGGGACAGACAGATTTGCTTTGTTATAAGCCTAATGTGATACCCGTTAAGTTTGAAATATACTTAAAAGTCACAGGGAATGAAAATCTCTTTGCTATAAGCATCAGTTCGTTATAAACATATTCCCTATCAGCATGTTTTATTGTACCCAACAATGAAGCCTTATCACCAATTTTCCCAACAATGAATTCTTAACAACCAATGGAATTACCTAACAATGAATTCTTATCGACCAATGGAATTACATAACAATGAATTCTTATCGACCAATGGAATTACCTATCAATGAATTCTTATCGACCAATGGAATTACCACCTTGCTGGGATTTGTAACATTTACCTGAGCTTTCATCACCCTGGCAGGATTATCTAACATCTGGAAGTTGGGTTCTGGTTCTTTCTCCTTCTCTGTTTTCTCTTTATCCTGTTTTTCTTTCTCTCCTTCCTCTGTTTCCATCTTTTCCTCTTCCTTATCTTTCTTTTCATCATCCTACAAAAAACAGAGTTCAATCTCATCATTACACAGAGTTCAATCTCCTCACTGTACAAATACAAAGTTTAATCCCATCATTGTACAGAGTTTAATTTCGTCATTGTACAAATACAGAGTTCAATTTCATCATCCTACAGAGTTCAATCTCCTCATTGTACAGAGTTCAATCTTATCATTGTACAAATACAGAGTTCAATTTCATCATTGTACAAATACAGAGTTCAATTTCATCATCCTACAGAGTTCAATCTCCTCACTGTACAGAGTTCAGTCTTATCATTGTACAAATACAGAGTTCAGTTTCATCATTGTACAAATACAGAGTTCAATTTCATCATTGTACGATCTCAGTATGAATATCTTGTGTTTTTTACCAACTTGCACTGAAATTATCATCTTATACTACCAAAATAACATAGAATGGATATGATTTATAAACCATATGAAAATCATGTTTTAAGCCTCATTTTAGATAAGTATATCATGTCACATAAATAAGAAGCTTGAAAGTAAAACAACTGGAAAACATGGAAGCCAAGATATACCGTTGGTTATTGCTTTGACAACAAATTAGTTTAACGACCATCATTTAGGAGAAATAGCATGTCAATATGTAGAGCACGAGTCTGTCTTATATTGGATTTTCCTTTGAAAACCTATAATATGTCTTGTGTAGCTTTTAAATCACAATAACATAGTCTTAAATCTCTATTCCAACATGCAAAACTAGCCTAATAATATGCGAAAGAAAACTCCATCAATACGGCTAAATTTATTTATCTACGCATACCAGGTTTTCTTATTTAATATATCTAAATTGTGCCCAATTCACTGCAAATTAGCAGGGAAATAAGAACAGCTTTTTAGTTTATGTTGTGTCAGAGTGTCAAAAAATGTACTTTCATTTTTCAGGGAGAAAAAATTTCATTAAATGAACACACCAGCATCAACTATGAATATCTTTCAATCATAATCCTTATTGACCTATGACCTGAAATCTTTATTGACCTATGACCTACATGTGTAGTCCTGTCTTATCTATAATCCTGTCTGAAATATAATCTGTCTGACCTATAATCCTGTCTGACCTATAATCCTGTCTGACCTATAACATATAATCCTAGCTGATCTATAATTCTTTCTCACCTACAATTTAAATCCTAGCCGACCCATATTCCTGTCTGACCTATAATCTTGATTGGCCTATCCTTTGACCAATAATCCTGTATGACCTTTACAGGATTTATATAATCCTAGCTGATCTATAAAATTTTCTGAGCTACTAGCTAACCTATAATCCTACCTGACCTTTGATCTATAATCAGTCTGACCCATGACCTATAATTCTGGCTGACCTTTTTTTAATTCTTCACCTACCACATCCATCTTTTCTTCATCTTTCTTCTTTTCAGCCTCCTTTTTCTTCTGTTTGGCAGTAATACTCAGGACTGCTGTCAATACTTTCTCTTTCGTTTTCTCTTTTTTGTCCTCTAAGGGAGGGGGGTAGGCATACTGAGAGGGTTTAGCATTGGAACGGAACTCCAACTTTGGCATCTGTTGGCGTGAAAGAAAATAAAGGTAGTTATTTATGAAATTGATATCTGCCTCTCAAATCTTAGTGATCTGTTTACAGTTAATAAGACAAAAAACAAAAAATAAAAGGAAAAAAAAAAATTAATCAAAACAAAACAAAACAAAACAGATGCATGATATAATTTCTGAAAAATCAATACCTAACTTCTTATTTTTCACATCATCAACTAATTTCTCTGGTTTCTACAATTTTATCCCTATTTCCCTCAAAATCATCAATAAAAATTAAGATTCTGTTCAAATCACACCTTAAGTATTTAAATACCTAAAAATCTGGTAAACATTTGGATTCCCTTTGCAATCGTAGAAACTGTCAGAAGATACACACATATGGAGAATGTCTATCCATCCCATACATTCATACTTTTGTCTACATTGAGTTAATGATTAAGTTGATTGAAGTTTGGAGTAGTTTCAATAAATGCTATGTAGCTGTAATGGTCACATGGAATCCATCTATCACTCTTCAATCTCCTTCAGTTTATCATGAATGAAGAGCAGGTCTCACTAAGAGTAAATAATCTTGGAGGGACTATAGACAACAAATAACTTATGGGTTTTAACAACTCTTGTCAAAAGCAACCTTTGTGTTGAGTATGAAAGTATGACCTTCTATAAATGTGACACTTCTGAACACTGTGACCTTCACCTTGTCTAAGTAACCTTTGTTAAGGGTCAAGCAAATTTTTGTGGAAGTTAAAGAAGTCATAAAATGTTTTGATTTGTTGTTAATCTCAAGAGACAAAAAATGTTTAGAAATAAGTAAAAGGTCAGATAGACAGCTAGATAGATGGATGCACATGGATCCCCCCTCCTAACTTTGATTTTGGAGATATAATTACTTACTTACTTAATCCTCTTCATGCATTTCTGCACATATGGCGACAGGGAGATATAATTACAATACTAAAACTTGAACAAATGATTTCTACCTAGTATTAGTCATCAAAATGAATGTGCTTGAACGTTTCTACAAAGTATTCTAAAGTACATCTTCAATGACAAAGCTACGTAAGACAAAGATTGGAAAGAAAGACTCTTACAAAAAGGCGTGAAAACATTTCTGATCTCCTGACAATACATTAAATTCCTTGACTGATTAATAGAAAAAAATCTTTCTGTAGAAAGACATGAGAAAACAGATCATAAAAGAGAAGACAATTGAATTATTTGTCTGTTATTATACCCACGTCAGCAACCAATGGCAGTAATTCATTGAGCATATGGGTGGACTACAGAGAAATAATGGAGGAGAATCAAACCAGCTTATTTAATTGAACCATTTAATATTCACTTTAGACATTAAATTGTCAATAACCATTAAGTCTATTATGCAGAACAATTAACATATAAATGTGTATAGATAATATTGGCAATTACAGTACTGAACAGGTTTTGTCCTTCTATGACACTGAACGACACAATTCCTTTGTGAGACTTGACAGAAGCTGCATGACCCTTATCTTCCTCATGAGACCCACTGAACTTGACATCACTCAGGTCCAACACTGGCCTCCCTATCCTCATTGAGGTTCACTAAGACTTGTATCATACAAGTCACAGACCATAAGGATCTCAATGAGGTCCACTAAGACTCATGTCACAGATCATCAAGATCTCAACGAGGTCCTCTAAGACTCATGTGTGACAAATCATGAAGATCTCAATGAGAACCACTAAGACTTGTGTCAAAGACCATGATAATCTCAATGAGGTCAACTGAGACTTGTTAAACATCGAGTCCTAGGTGCTTTTGGAGGTGCAATTAATGTTTTGGAGAAAGTCTCCAAGGTTCAAGAAGATGTCAAACACTTATCTCTTGGCCCTACTTTTGATCAATGAAAACATTTTAAAAACTGACCTTTTACTGAGCTCCCATGAGATTTTTTTTTAAAGAAAACTACCCATGAGGTCCTTATTGGGGTTGGGGTCTATTAAGACTTCTTTGAAAATGAATATCAGGTTTTTCACTGAGGTCCTTTAAGATTTAACAGACTGAACCTGAGGTTCTCATTGAGAGTTGCAACCTGATAAATGAGGTCCTCATTAAGATCCATTGTCTGACAATGTCCTTGAGGTTCACTCTGAGGTCTAGTAAAACAGAACCTGAGGTCCTCACTGAGAGCTGCAATGTGATGAGGTCCTCATTAGGATCCATTGTCTCCCTGATAATGACCTTGAGGTTCACACTGAGGTCACTAGGACTTAACCTGTGGTCCTCACTGAGAGCTACATCCTGATAGATACTAACCTTGAGATCCTCGTTGAGTCCTACCAGGCAGGTTGGACTGAAGGCCATGGACAGGAAATGGGTCAGTGGGTACCAGAACCAGAACTGAGTGAACACAAGCATGCCCACCACTGCCTCCATATTCATGTGACCCGTGCGGGACTGCAGAGAAACCGTCATGTTTCGTCCTCCTGCGAAAAGCAGTTATGATCTATATAACATTGCCAGAAAAAGAATAAAACATTTGTTCCATGCATGTGAGTCATTTGGGACTGAAGCAGAATTCTAGTACATTTCCTTGGAAAAATATCTCTATCAAATGTTATGACACTGGTATGTTCTAAAATCTTAATTCACTGCTAGACATGGAATTTTATTTCTTTTTAGAGTCTTAATACATCAAAATTTTAAGTCTGTCAAAAAACTGATTCATATAACCTTCCAGTAACTGCAATTTACACCCAACTTTTTTGATACTGAAAAAAGACAATAAAACAACAAATTTCCTAGTTACCACCCCTTCTCAGCTGTTTTTATTTGTGAAGTATGTGTCTAAAACAAACAAATTACACATTAGTCGGATGTAACATGTTAATATTCACGTTTCAGGTCTACCATGTACCGATTACATCAAAGTGAATTGAGAGACCATCACTTTATTAAACGAGTATTGTTAGAAGATACATTTTCATCAAAAAGCCATTATTTTCCCCCATTTTTATCAGGCAACAGAATACCGACTAATAACATTCTCTCCATTTCCGAAATTTTTAAATAGTGACATAATGTAGGATTGCCTATTTAATCTCCAAATTCTTTCTATAAACAACCTCCACAGACTACATGTATAAAGCCACTGGGAGCCATCACAGAATTGTCAAAAATTATCTTTTTTCATGTTTTCCTCTCCTCTCTGAGCAGTATCAAGTCTGTATCTTTGAAAATTAATGGCATACTCTTGTTAATTTTGTTTGCAGAGTGTAAGAAAAAAAAACAAGACCAGAATACGGTCAAAACATATTAACGTAGAAGATTCCACATGAAAAATAACAATACAGATATAAAAGAGTCTCAGAAACTTCTTTTTCTTTGATAAATCTACAATAAAACAGCTTAACATCTAAATGTATTTGCACTGAAAACCAAGAACAATTATGAATGAAAATATTTTGCTACCAAATTTCCAATGAATAAAGAGCTATATAAAACCACAGTATGATGCAAGTAATTTTAGAGGACACTTGATATATGTGCATAAATCTTACAAAATAATGTGATCTTTCTTTTATATGCTTATTAAAACTTAGACTTGAGATTCCGCCTGAATTTACCGCTGAACATTTGTATCTCTGACAATGATACGTTGAGATACACAGAAGTAAACTGAAGGTCATCCCAACCTTGTTACGATTTTAAAATTCACTGTTGTTATCTCAAAGTTCACATAAATTGAAGTTTCATATATGACATTCCTTCTATGTTTGGGCTATTTACAAGATATCTTGAGTGAATAATCATGATAATAGATACAAAAAAAAATTATAGCTACAATAGGTCCTGCAACAATTTTCAGAATGAACTCTTATAGAACTGGAATCTTTTTATATGGCTGATGTGATTTTAAGTTGACTTCAATCACTGTACAGATGTTTGTTTTATAATAAGTAAAACATCACCTGCGACAACAAGTATATCAAATACGTCTTTCCTATGAACATGTTCTACTGTGCGCATTGATCTGATCAACTTTTCAAGTAGAAAAAATTGTATGATGGATGATCTCTGATCAGAAGATACCACTTGAACTCACTGCTGAGTTGGAATAAAAGCAATGTCTACATCACGATTTATTTTGCAACATAAACTATGAGAGATTCAAATCAAGAGCTTTGCTTCTTTTTTTTTTCAATAAAAATTATCAGACCTAGGCTACGGAAACTAAGGATGATTGTGTAGTGACTTGTGTCTGAAACACCATCAAAATTAGCCACTCTTTAGAATGCTATAATGAATTCACAAGTACCTCTTGTGTAAAAGAGGTCTGATCGTAGTTCATCACTCCCACCTACTGAGGTAAAAAAGGCAAATTTCATGTAAACATTCCCACTCCTTTGTACTGGACTAATTAAACTGTCTGATTATAGACACACAGACCACTGCAACTGTGAAATATGATAGTAGTGTTTTTTATTCAAAATGTACTTTTATCGTGACTTAATGCAATGCTGTTACTAATGTTTGCTAGGTGTTGCTTATTTACATGATAATGAGGCTCATTGCCTTTTTTTTTACACAATGATTATTTACTGAGGTCTCACACAGATTTCACAGTCAGAGGGTGATGATGTTGACAAACATGCGTGCATGTTAGGGGCTTGTAATTGAGTGGTTGGAAATGTTCAATTTTAGCTCTGGTTTGGAATCATATTTGGCATCAGGTTCTATTCTGAATTTAACATCATAAGAACATATAACAATCCCTCAGGACCATGTATAATAATAAACATTTAAGACATTTTTTTAATAATAACAACAACAAACAAAAAAATAATTAAATAAAAAAATCAAGGCTGCTGTTAATCAGTACCATCCCTGAGTGTAATATTTTACAATGTTTACCTCTATTTTTTTAATTTCATAGTATTAAAATAATACCCTTCTGCAAAACTCATGCAACCCAAAATATACATGAAGCTAAGCCTCAATAGAGGGCCATTACATGCATTCCAAACCTTGTGCAATCAGACTATAGAGTTCATATTTCTTTATGCTGCTTGTAAGAAAGCCATCAACCAGATACTTAACATCTCTCTTCCTTGTGGAAAAGAGTGATATAACAGTTAAAATTCAAATTCACATACTGCATACTGCTTGCAGTGGGTCACTTTCACGGTATAATCTGTTTATCCTTCCCCCCTTTTTTTTAACACTAGAACTTAAGAGCCCTATTTGATATCTAGTGAGTATGTACATCTTATCAGGAATAGCACCTGTTTCTGCAGTCTCCATGGCCATCCGTGTTTTTTTTCTCTAGTGTTTGCCAGGAAATCATATACCTATCACCCTCTTGAATCAATCTGTCAGATTATAAAACATGCAGATAACCGCTTCATTTGCCATCTCTCCCCCATTGAAATTTGGCACAGAAATTCTTTTCTTTAATTTTTTTTTATAATCTTTGATCACTGCTTCCTGAGATAAAACACTGTTGTTGACATTCAGTGAAGAGAAGAATGCTTACACAGCACTGATAAACTTGATTTTGATCAACTTTTTTCTTATCATTGGAAATGTTATTCTCTTTTAGTGAAAAAGGGTATTTTCCTCTACAAATTTAAAAAAAAAAAATTATTCACCTATCTATTGCATTAAAAAATTATGGTCAATGAACTCTCTGATGAAACAGTTTAAGTCAAGCAAATTACTTTTAAGACCAACAAACTATTGATTCACAAGCGGATGTCAGCATTAATGTAGCTAGTCCACTTTATAGACTTGTTGATGCAAATTCTTTTTTCACTTTACATCTTCAGAACAAAATATTTTTCTCACATTCAAGACATTGATGGAAACTTATAAAATAGCTATATAATCCTGATTTACTGTTCAAAAAAATATTTTCCCAGAAATTCATATGAATCAAAAATATTACATGTTAATAGGGGGAAAAAATCTTTTCTTTGAAGTGATTTGACTTACCTGCGTCAATGATTCCCTGTGCCAGAATTGCACCAAATTTCGCCATGATGTCATCATGTTTGTCTCCGATGATTTTGGCATACAAACTTCTATAGTGGGCAACCTAAGTAAAAAAAGCTGAGAGCTTAAATAACATTGATTAATACCTGGTATTATGAGAAAGAGTTCAAATGGAAGAAGTATGAATTATCAGTGTGTAAAGCTTCCATGACTATAATGTTAATTTTTAAACTATGAGTGGTCACAAAGATACAGTAAAACTTGGTTATACAGTATTCCATTACAAGGATATCTTAGAGGGAATCCTTTAGGAATCCTATGGATTGATTGTTTATTTTTTAACACTGAGTCGGCAATATTTCAGCCATATTTCTGCAGAAAATTAAGTTTTTTTGACCGGTATTTGAAAGGTTTTTGATTTCTCTGGCGGCCCTCAGTGAGCTTACTCTTTTTCGAAATTCAGAGAAACAATCTTTTACGTGCCAAGTGGTTGTAATCCTTGACACGGGGCACCATTTAACGTCCCATCCTACGGACTTATGAATCCTATGGAAGACTTTGCACTATGTTTTTATATAGATATAATCTTGGTTATATGTTGACAGATTTTTCAGTTATTTCCTGATCATGACAGGGAGCACACGGCAGGGGATGCTCACTCCTCCATGGCACCTGATCCCACCTCTGATGTTTTAGAGGTCCGTGTTTGCTCTGCTCCAAAATTTGTATTGTTTGATGGACTTTTGAGCTTGGATACTGTTCATTATCTCTATACATTTCATTATATGCAAGCAAATTTTGAAGTCTTAGTGACTCTCATGAGCCCTCTATACACTGCACACTAAAGAGTTCTGATTTGTGGTATTTTTATGCAGAAAGAGTAATCTGTCCTTTGATCATGAATAAAATAAATTGAAATGTACAGTTTATTAATTTGTGATCAAATCAAGCATTTATAACAATTTAATAAGTCAAGATGAATAGACAGAACACTTCATTTGCAGGGATTTTGCCCACTTAAGTAAACAACAGTGACTTCTGTTCATCAGTACTTCATTGTCTTTCATCATTTTTTCCTGGGCGTAAATGCAAGGTTCCCATGTTGAAAATGTAATAGGTAAGCTCAATATTTACACCTTTACACACTATAATTTTCTCAGTGTCCAAAATATCTTTCCCTCTAGTGTATAGAGGGTCCTTAAAGCATCTTCTTTTCGTGCACGCAGTGTATTCAACCAAATGAATAATATTTGCAAGTTTCATGAGGTCATGGGGAATGAAATCACTATGCATTACTTCAAATAACAAACTGCTAATTTAAAACAAGGAAAATCCCAAAGAGAATTTGCTAAAATATTGAGTTACAAGGAATATATTCTCAGTGCAATAGTTGTAATAAATTGAATGGACAAAATGGTGCCAATTTGAATGGTTAACAGAGTTGATTTACATACTTCTAAGAAATTGACCTGGATATGTTTTACTAATTCATGTTCATGTATATATAATTAAACTTCATTTTGTGAAGTATATTGACCCCTCAATAATCTAGATTTACAGCAAGGAGGAAATAAAATTCCTACCTAATCACATTAGTTTAGGATAAAAGAGTTTCCATGTATTTGAAATTTTTGTTTAACTTAATTAAACATTAACATTTTAGGAGATTTTTGAAAAATAAATTTCTTTTTGTTTTGAATTTGAATCCTATTTAACAAATGGTATGCACGGCCCCTTTTTCGACCACAAATTGCAACGTTAGCTGCACTTCAAGAGGCCCTGATTTATCGTGCAGATATCAACTGTAAACATTGTTTTGAACATATTCTTTATGGAGAACTCCCAAGAAGCATTAGATAAAATGATTCCTCAGAGCATTCTTTTATTTCAAATTTCAAAAGGATTCAAAATGAGAGATCAGTATAAATATATTTCTCTTGAGAAACAGACATTTTCAAACAAAAACATTTCTTAGAAATGTCAGAATGGAAATTGAAATGGAAATTGGCATGTTGAGCAGATAAAGTTCTGCAGTATGTGGATGTTCTTTTGATGATGGACATTTAGTTGCATGACCCACAAAGTGAGAAGAATTCATAGAGCATTAAAGTATAATGATTTTACCACCCTTTCTATTTTGCACAGTGATGGCATGTCTGAAATATTATCTAGAATGGGATAAACATGCATTCACACGAAGCAAATGCTTTGTTGGTAAACATTTTTGAAATTTTTGCTTGCAAAAATAAAAAAAATTCTGGCTAAATGAAAATAAAGAGGTTAATTAAGTCCAAAATGTTAACATTTCCATTTCATAAATTCACTCAAAATTGAAATTATAACTTCCCATTCTCTTGATTCTATAACATATCTTTTAAAATAAAACACTGTGGATATGAATTAAGGGACAGTCTGAAGAATTGTGTCATCCTTGCAAGGTGATCTAAACACTGGGCTTTACCCATAGCTTGGCAGACAAGCAGACAGACAGACACAATTTCAGTACACATCCCCTCCAACTTTGTTGATGGGGCTGGGGGGTTTGTGTGATATAATTGATGAAAAACAATATTATACTTTTTTCTCAACACACCCTGAAAAGTCTTGTCAATTTAGTAAATAATACAAAACTTCTCGTAAGTTGACATTTTGATGTAGCCTCTAGATGAGTGATTAAATCCTGGTAATATATTAAACACAAGAATTATAGTTATCTTTCATAAAATCTCTCATCTCAGATTGTAGACATATTGTAGAGATGGTCCTAATGTTTGGGGAAGTCTCATAAAGCTAGTCTAACCCCTAGAAAAGAGTCAAAATTGGCATTAGGTCTTACCACAGTTGAGGTAAAACAGTATATGCCAGATTTATTCCCTGGACAGGTGTGAAAAAAAGGCATCAATGATATCTTTGGACAGGTGTTATACAGCTGACACTTTATCTTACCTTTCGAACAGAGTGAAAAGATTGTCATTAAATTTGACCTTTGGACAGGTGTTTTCCTTACCTTTGGACAGGTGTTTTCCTTACCTTTGGACAGGTGTTTTCCTTACCTTTGGACAGGTGCTTTCCTTACCTTTGGACAGGTGTTTTCCTTACCTTTGGACAGGTGTTTTCCTTACCTTTGGAAGGTGTTTTCCTTACCTTTGGACAGGTGTTTTCCTTACCTTTGGACAGGTGTTTTCCTTACCTTTGGACAGGTGTTTTCCTTACCTTTGGACAGGTGTTTTCCTTACCTTTGGAAGGTGTTTTCCTTACCTTTGGACAGGTGTTTTCGTTTTGCTGTATCAGCACCAAGGCAGAGGCAATCAGAGCTCCCTGTCTAACATAGTTCACAGGGTCATTGGTCATGGGCTCCAACAAACTGATAGCATCCTATACATCAATAAGACAAAGGAAAAAAAAACATATTAATTACATATAAAGTAATTCACATAGATTATATATAATGATTCATATCTCCTTCAAATATATGGTGAAAACAAGTATCAAGACTCAAATTCTGTAGATTTGCCTGTTATCAAACACCACAAATAACATTCCTCCAACATGAAATCAGTGTAAACTACTTGTTAATACAATTAAATCATAAAACTTCAATTACAACAAAAATGCTGAAATTGTGATAATATTTATATTCAATATAAAATGCTGAAGATATAAGCAGATCGATACATGTACATCCGCTATTTTCAAACTTTTTAAGTGTTACTCTTCAATGGCTGTTCTTGCTTTTAATAGGTTACAGTAAAGGACATGCATACAGTGAAACATTATAAACAACTGAATTGCCTTGTTATATTCATTTAAGCAATAAATTCTTATTTTTGGATGTCGTTGGTATTATAACAGCACCTGGTTGTGCCAATAAATTGAATACCGCGCATTAGCACAGTATAATAGTTTGTCAGCAAAGATGTTGTTACAGGACCGACGACATCCAAAAATAAGAATTCAATGCTTATAATTACATTCTCTAATTTTCTCTCTTAGTAATTGTTAATTTTGTTAACCATTGTTAATTAATTTATGAATTCATAGCACTTTGCTTTCAGAACTGGAGTGCTGAATAAAGTCTGACGTAAGAGCATTGTGATGTGGAAAGTCAATTAACGCAAATGAATAATTATGAGGGAAAAATGACAAATTAATTTTAAACATACAATTGCTATATTTTTACAGTAATTTAATAGGGTATTTGTTTTTGATTAAATTGAGCAAAAAAATATACATTTTGGTGTTCCTAGAGTATTGAAAATGCATTTAATTCCTTCTGTAAACAAGGTTTCGTGTGTAACAGGGTATTGAGTGTTGTAGATTTCCAACGGTTTTCATAAAGAAAATTACACTGAATGTAAATATATATTTATCAAATAAAAAAAATTCAAGGGCATGATTTCTACATTTATTCAACAGCAAAGGAACCAGTTTTTATTGTGTGGTAGCTGCACTAATTTTAAGACAGAAAAAACCCTGAAAAAAATTCTGATGAGATAATTTCTAATGTCAAACTCTTAGAACCGAGCCATAACAACACACATACAGATATCTATAAACATTTTATATACAGGAGCCCCCTCTTATCTCTCCGATACTTCAAACCATGCATCAATATGAAAAATCAGAAGGGAGAACCTCTCTTCTCTCTATACAGCTAGATGAAGCTTACAGCTCGTCAAAAATCGTGATCGATTTCATAGCAAATGAGATCTGAGAAGCAAAATGTTGAATGGAATCTTAATTGGCTTTTGTTTATGTTCAGCTTTTATCTATTGATCTGCATGATGCATCAAAAAACGCAATAGATTAATTGCCACCTTGAAATCAAAGCAATCGATCATACTCTACGTCACACAGTTCCCAGGACCTCTCTGATATCTTGGTCCATTCATTTTTTTTATTTATGGGCCACAAGGCTCACTTGAAATTTCTGCCTGGCTGATGTTAAAAGATGGCTAAGCTTTCTCACAGGAATGGGTGACAATATATTTAATATATCAGAATTATCATTACATTCATTTGTTACACTGTTCTTCAATATGTCAACATGTAAATTTAATAAAAACAAGCGGCCCATGGGTACAATGCTAGCCTAAGTCACACTGGCCCTACTGAATCCAAAAACATGGAATTTCTTTAATATCCCTGACTAACATGACCTTGATGATTTTTCAAGCATTTTCTATCCTTTTCTGTATACATCTATTAGGTAAAGTTTGATCCCCTGTTTTAGCCCAATCTTGCCTCCATGGCCCCATAATTTGTAAAAATTATATTCCAAACAACTTTGCAACTTTGTGGTCCCAACCTACCACGAGGGGGGGGGGGGGGGTGATTTGATGAAACTTGAATCTTTACAAGAGGATGCTTGCATATCATTATGACTAATCATGCTCCTGCTTTTCCTGAGAACATATTATTTTAAGATTTTTTTTCTATTTCCCCATGCAGCAATTTGTTCATCTATTAATTGTGGCCCAATCCAACCCCTGGGGAGCATAATTTGGACAAACTTTAATCTACACTACATGAGGACTATTTCTTTTCTTTTTTTTCCACATAAGTTTCATTTTTTGGGGTTTGTGCATCTTGACAAGAAAGCTGTTTTAAAATCACTTAACTAAATTTTGTCTTTTCTTGATTATCTTCCCTTAAAAAGGAGCATGGTCCTTTACTTGAAATTTTAATCTCCTTCACACAAGGATACTCTGTACCAAACTTAACTGATATTAGCTTAGTGGTTCTGGAGGGGTCAAAAGTAAAGTTTATATTAAGGACAATGCTCACTTGAGCCTTTGACTCAGGTGAGCTAAAACCCAATCACTTCGAATCCCTTACAATCAATATATCAATGTTACTGAGTATGCATTCACTGATTTGAATTTTCAAAGCTGCAAATGATTTACAACTTTCATCTGTAGTGAGAGGCCTTAAATTATGCCAATGGTTTAGCCAATTTTGAAAGTATTTTCTGCAAATTAAAGTTTAAATAATTTAAGAAAAATATTCATTTATAATATTGCAATTCTTTTTCTCTTTCTCTGAGCAATATGTTAGCCTACATGAAATAAGAAATATGCTTAATTAAATGTGTAAAAACCGATATTATAAAATCACTTATTAGGCTCAATGAACACATTCTACAGCAAGGAATAAATTGATTATAAATAAAGTTAAAACAACATTAAAAAGGTTGGAAAAACAATAATGCAAATGCTGGAAGATTAGCAGGGCCCAATACACAAGCATGGTGTATTAAAGATGGCTTCAGTAAACGTTAAAAAAATATTTGAATTGATGCATTATGCTGACCACACAACGTATATAACAACCATATATCCTGAAATTCTGTTTTTGAACCCAATACAAAAACATGTCTACAAAACTGAATATCTACAATGAGTGTAGAGTACAAAATCTCGGTGGTCTAATGGACTTTTGCCCATCTTCTCCCTTCTTTGGTATTAGCATTGCATGATGAAAATCCAGCACAAAGAGACTACTAATTGAAGGGATCCTTTAAACCCTCCATTACAGAACGATAATATTAGTCTGACATTTCTGGCCCTAGCCAAGCAAACAGGACCAATCTCTTTTTGTCCTTATAAATCATTCTGTTTATCTTCCAACATTAAATTCACTTTGTAAATTAACAGTCCATCTCTGTTAATTAGTTACTGTTCAATTAAAAAAGTTGTCTATAGGTCAATGGGAATAAGACTGATCAAGAAAGTTAATTGGCTGTCGATGAAAAATTTACTTATTGACCCTGAGTGTACTCTTGAAATACAGATTGATCAACAGTACATGTGACCGTACTTTTTTAGCAGAATTTAATAGTCAACAGTTTCTGGGCCAAGGAACAACTTGTTTCTGATCATTAATTTAATAATTAAGGTGAATAGATTTTTATACTCTTACAAATCAGTGAAGATTATTCATCAATTAAATTTTCTTTACTGAAAGTATACAGCCCAATCCACTGAGAAGGACCAAATATGTTTTAGCGACTATAAGATTATTTTTAGGCCCAGAATGCTAAACCAGTCAGGTCAACATTTAATGAACTCTTCACTTTACTAGCATCAATTTTTGTGATAATCATGCTCACAACAAAGCCAAAAATGACCCCCCCCCCAAAAAAAATAATGTTATATGGACATGAAGTACATACTGAAAACAAATTACTTAAAAATTTCACCAATTCAAGCACCTGCGATTAGGTTCTAAGGGAAAATTAAACCAAATAAAAAGCTGCAAATTCCGACCCCATTTTAGCATATTTTCAGAGTTTTTTTTTCAATTGGAAAGAAATATTTTTGAGCAACTACTACTTCATAAGGATTTAGAATACCAAGCTACCTTAAGACCTGTTCCTGCACATGCAATGCCCAAAGCCATGGCCGCCCCAAATCGTACATGAGGGTTATAGCTCTCCGACAAAAGGGACACTACTTGTGGACACTGCTCCGGGGTTCTGAAAATACAAAAAAAAATAGTGTAATTGTGAGAAGTGAGAAATGTTAAATGCATGGAACATTGGAAACTGCAAAAAAGAATATCTTTATATTAGCAACATTATTTTGTGAAACACAAACTTTTATGCCACATAAAAAATCTTAAGAGAATCAAAGTAAATTTCATTTTTTTTTTTAAAGTTTCACTTGTGATTTAATACTCACTGCATTTCAGGCAAATACAGTGACTATGCAACACTTACACAACTCTTCAAAATTATCATATTAAAACTCAGCTCTCTGCAAAACCAGTCTTTCAGAGAGAGAAAGAGAGAGAGAGAGAGAGAGATTGTTTAACATACCAATTTACATGTACGCGTTCAATTACGTACAAAATCTTAATTTTCTTATAGCAATTACATGTCACTCTGTTGATGATGTTTTAACAGTACATGTACTGTGTCTTTCACAAAAATGAGATTTATCATAGGATACTGCCCTTGTCCATTTAATTTGTTTTCATCAATTCTTATATAATTTGGCATTAATCTGTTTACATCATTACCAAAACACTAGGTTCACAAGAGAGCAGACATTTAATGCATTAGCATCAAGCCTGAATAGTCGTAATGTTGGTCATTGATTTCCATGTAAATGAGAGACCATTATTGATGAAAAAATTATGTCCCAGATATGGATGTTTGGTCCAAACGGAAACAATACGAGAAATTATGTAACCTTCACGGATTACTCAAAAGTTCATTGTACTAACGTACAGAATTTTGATCAAGTCCTTAAGAGTGTTTCATTCAGGGTCATACAAAGCATTAAAATCTTGAGCAGTTAATAGATGGACGTTGGACAACAGGTTAAATGAAGTCACTTGAAGACTTATTTTGGCCCTAAACAGAGGAACCCCCCCCCCCTTTCCAACATGCACACTTCCTATCTCTTAGCAGGATTTTTTCATTAAAGGGGCCTGGACACAGTTAGTGAATTGCAATTTTGTTTACAATTGTTAATTTTTATTCAAAAAATAATTTCTGAATTGGTTTGATGATTTGAACTTGCATGGAAATTCTTAAAATTCAATGAACACAATATTCTTCATTTTACGTCAAACATCTGTGTTTGTAAACATGGGCACAGCTCTGTTATTGTTAATGTTTACATTACAGCCGATGTTTTCTATTTGTTAACTCTGCACACATTACTGAGGATGGTCTAACAATACTGGCAAGTTGGATTTGCTTTCTCACATTTCTTCTCTGAATTTTCTGAATTATAATTTTAATATATTAAGTTCATTAATTAATACACAATAAATTTATCATTTTTGTTAGATATTAAGGATAAATTTTACTTCATAAAAGTGCAATGATCTGTGTCATTCAAATGCATCCTGAAATTTGTAATTTTAATAATTTCAGATAAAACAAGTTTCTAAACATTTTTTTCCAATATATCTGTCTGAAATGCTCTTAAACATGTAATTAATGATATATTATACTGAAAATTTAAGAAAATGTTAATTATCATCATATCTGTGTCCAAGCCCCTATAAACCAGTCCTCCTTGAACTCTGTAACTTCCATTAGTAACAAATGAAAAACCTCCAAACATCAGGAAAAAAAATTAACTGAAGATAAATGGTCCTGATTAATAATCAGTTTTAAATTAAAACTGACCACTGATCATGAATGATATACAAGAACATTTGGTATTATATGCACAGTAGACAATAGAATCTGAAAGAGAATATTTTGGACATCTTGTATTGCAAGGACTTCACTAGCTATTATTGTTTCACCTACTTTTAATTTAAAACTGCATGAAAGAAATTGTAAGTTGAAGAATAAAGCAGAATATTTTTTCAAATGTTTTTTTTTAATGATTGCTATTTTGTAAGTCTTAAATTTAAATATAAAAAGTGATGTAAATAAAATTCTTTACAAAATGTAAAGAAACTGCAATGCTCCTAGCATCAACTGTGTTAAATACTGGTATTGTAATATCAACCTCAAATTATTGCAATAATGAACAGATTTTTTTATGGAAATAAATTTTCTTTCAAGTTTATTCCTCTACAAAATTCGAACAATAGCTCTTCATTTTAGGAGTCTCAGACCGTGTTTGAACCCAATGCCCAAATAAAGAGTTCAAGATCATGCTATGCCAATGAGACGAAGCTTTAATTGCTTTGATTTATTCGATACTGGCATGTCATTTAACTTTCTGATGATCTTTTATAGTTTTATTCCTCCGATTGCAGCCATTGATATTGACCTTCCGATCAAAAGGCCATTTCTGTGAGGAGAGATAAGAATTGGTAGTTACTTTATGGGACACAGGCATAAATGAAACTATTGTTCAAATGAAAATTAACTGTTTGAATCAACTATTATTCTTTTATAAGAAATTAAAATCACCTGCATTAAAAATCGTTAGATATTTACAAAGTTTCAATGCAAGAAATTATTGTACCCACAATCATCATAAGGAATTATATATCATGATTGTTCCTGAAAGCTGGCATTTTTCAAACTTTGCGTAGAGAATAAAAATGCTATATGACTTGTACTCAGCAAATTGATTCAACACCTTCCCCATGATTTGTGAGTCTGTTTTGTGTCTCATAATATTTTGCATCATGTTTATCAATATCCGATCCCTAGCATATGCACGGATTCTTCAATTTTACGTAAGATTGTGATTTCAAACTTCGATTAGCTTTAGCTGTTAAAGGGACTGCATTGTGTTTAATCCTAATGTTTTCTGTGCAACAATTATCTGAAGAAAAAAAATATATTTCACAAAATGCCACTGAGATATTTCCATTTCTCTCAGTGTCAAGGCTTTAACCACTCGAGTCATGCATTTATTGGTTTTAACGAAAGCATTAAGTCAGTAAATTAGATTGAAATGAGGATAAAATGTTACATCAAAGGATAATGCAATACACCTCTCTTTTATTACCTGCCATGTGATGCTTTTATTCTTACTTCATTGTTGCAGATTCTTTTCAACAGAAACATTTTTATGCAATAATCCATACAACCATCATGACCATTAGGTCTGTCCAAGTTTTTATCATTGTTAAATGCAGAATAGCATTGTTATATAAGATTTACATAACACACTCCCAAAAGGAATGATTTTTTATTTTAATGATTTAGATCTGTTCATGCAATCAAACTTTATGTTTTTAATTTTAAAGAGAATTTTTCTTGGTCCATTTTTTAATAATTATTTTGAAATCGGAAAAATAAAACGATACATGTAGCTTGGATGAAGAATGGAAACAATTGATCCAAACTAACTAGTGATATATTTATATTAACTGCATTTTGAGTGCTAAGTTTCTTTATTAAATCTAGGGGTCTTAACACATCTGAGCAATTTATAAATGATCTGGTATGCATGTAAAGAGCATTTTTGCAATGAAGCTTTAATTAAGCTCTGCATTTAAGTGACATAGGCACACAGATTTTAGTGTAAACTTCAATAGCAAACTTAGAATATAATACAGGGAGAAAAGGCCAGGTGTCTGACTGACAATTTTCTGTAATTGCAGGGATTTAATCATGGCCTCAATACCATATACATGTAATATGTACTATTGTGAAATTCAAAAATTGTAATATGGGCTGTATTTTTGAGAATTTATTATGTATAATTCTGCATACGATCAATAAGACTAAAAAGTAAGTCATTCCAGGTAAGTCATTGTAATTTCTGAACAAGTACTTTTATTTTCAAGATAATCAAAATTCCATGTAACTACATAATAAACTGTGTTTCCTCAGTATTTTACCCTATACTGTTGACAGTTCATTTTTTTAAATGTTGGTCATCTAAATCAAATTTTAAAACTTATAAATAGTACTTTTACTACTTGATTATATATATATCCACAGATTTCATGATACCATTATCCACAGTGTGATATCATGGCTAATAAAACTTAATTAATTAGATGTACCAGGGTATATAGATTACCTCCATAAATTAATCTCTTATCATTTTTATGGCCCATTTTACTCTCAATTAATGATCATAGAATTCATTAGAATATACTATATGCAGCTTGTATTATGACCCAACATTAATTACTCCAAAATCAAGCATGAGAGAAAATCATCAGAAAGATTGAAAAAAATTAAAGAGGAATGTATTTATTAGCCTAATAGGTTTAGTTTAAACATTCTAAAAATCAATTTTCACATTAACCCAGATGCACCTCTATAAAATTTTCAACTTTGCTATAAACATTATCTTAACTTAAAGATAATTGATTAATAACCTATGCTTTGCTCGTCTCTCCCTTGATTGATAATTGCAATTTTCCTTTTCTACGTCCTCTTGTATACATTCAAACTAATAAAACCCATCTGAAGTAGCGTTACACGCTGTCACAATAGAACAACATACCCAGGTATCCCAGCAACCCCTGACGTAAGTGACCATTACTCGTGCGTCTTTGATTGGGGTTCCATGAAAGTCTACGTTTCTTAGATCATGTTTCCTTCCAGGGAAAACTAAGATTTCACAGAGAAATAGAGAAATATCACAGGGTTTCCTGCGAGGAATTTTCTTATCAAATTGCATGAACCTTTTCTCCTTTTACATCCATACAAAAACATCATCAAGCTGGGAGCTATAATTAAGGGAATTAAATATTAGTGACTGTCCCAGTATTTTATTCTGAGCTGAATTGGAATACCAGCAAATGTACATGCATACAACATAATGTTATAACTGAAAATCTATTAACTATATACAAAATCATGAATTTTCAATTTTTTTGGCGAACTTTTTCTTGGTTTTTCATACAATTCTTAATATGTTAATTTATTTCCTTTTGTAATTTTTATATTTAATTACAAACAAGTTACGTAATGCTCATGAATATTCATTCAGAACCTTTAATTAATTATTTAAAATTAAGAAATAACTGCAGAGACAATCCAAAATAGATCTGATATTTTAACAATGAGTATTTTACGACTATTTTGATCAATTATCCTCTCTCGTCTTTCCCTGCGACAAATACAGGAGGTGACGTCAATTTGTCTCCATTCATGACTTTATAATTATAGACATATGTCCATCCTTTGCTATTACAAATTATTACAAATATTGAATGTCACAGTTATTATCAAAGCTCTCAGTTTTTTTCCTTCTAGAGTTGACAAAATAAATATATTATTTTCTGCTAAATTGTAACATCTTTCATTACAAAATCAAATCTCATATAGCTTCAATATAATTTTTACTGGATTTTTTTTTGTTTTGTTTGTTTGTTTTTTTGTTTTGTGAGCTGCAGATTCAAGACAATATGCACTTAACCCAATAGACCCCAGATGACCCTAAGATTTGCCTTTATGAAATGGGCACATTGTATTATATGTAATAAATCATTTCTCTTCCTGGGAACCACTCACTAAGATGTTAAAATTAGCAAAACTTGATTAGGTTACAAAGATTAAAAATATAATAAAAACCTGCTTTTCACATTATTTATTTTACCATGTTTGCCATTAAGGAAACATATAAACTGGATAGAGTGAGTTATATACAGGTAAACTTCGTTATCTCGACATCGACGGGACCATCGGAAAATGTCGAGATATCCGAGGTGTCGAGATATCAGAGTTGAGACTTGACGTCCAAGATTTCATTGCATAGCAAAACAGACAAGCTTATTATATGTACATGACTTTAATATAGACTGTAGCTCAACATATTTCAGAATTCCCTCTATTTTTATTAAAAATCTTAAGAAGTTATTATAAAACGTGTTCTTTATCGAAATCTGTCCAAATTCACAAAGTTTCAGTACAAAGTTACAGTATTGAGCTGCATTCGCATGTTACTTGCCTTTTCGTCAGAACAGGATACGAAATGCGCTCTTTAAACTTCGAACCGTATAAAGTCGACATCCGATATACGGTAAAAAAAAAATTAAATGCGGATTATTTCATTCAGGAAGAATGTACATTAAAATTAATTTTTTTAAAAAGATTTGAGTATCTAAACTAACGTAGTGATGTTACAGATGCACGAAATACGGCTGATTCGGTCAATTGTGATGTTTATTGGATTGTTTCCTGTTGAATACATTTAATCTACAAAATATCATTAAAACATTTTTTTAATTCCTTAGTTTGAATTATTCAGTGTGTTTGTTATCGCATGTGAGTTAAGGTTAGGTATAGGCGTTTCTATGCAAATGAGCTAATAAAAACGCATAAGAGGTAAATTTATTATTCGGAGAAAGTTTTGATTTATTTTCTTATGCATATTTAGTACCCACGATATGTTATAGCCAGTAATCATTATGACGTCATATTATGACGTCATTGTTCTTACCTACTGGAGGAAATAAAACACACAACAAAACAGCTTCGGCGCAAGGGATTACCCTATTTAATTTTACATAAAAATTGTATAATGCTAAGAAGAATATTCTGTAGATTAATAAAACTGCTGCACAAATCCTAGGTATTTTCTCATTTGATCAGAATTTAAGGAAACGTATACCGGACTGTGCATTTTTACCCTGATTCAACTTATGACTTTACAAATAGATATTATACAACTGAACTGTTGATATTTGTGCAGCAATACCAGCAATCTTTGAAATATTTTGGATCTAAATATACCTTGCTTCGGTTAAATAAAATAGAGCATGCCCTTGCGCCGAAGCATTTTTGATGATGTCCATTATAATCTTGTGTAGTAAAGAACAATGACGTCATAATATGACGTCATAATGTGTACTGGCTATCTCATGTCGTGGGTACCAAGTATGTATTAGACAATAAGTTTTAACTTTCTCTGTATAATAGATATAGTCTTCAGGCATTTTAATTAGTTTATTTGCATAGAAATGCCTATACCTAGCCTTAACTCACCTGCGATTCATTGTAATTTAGTTATTTTTTTTTCAAATTTGTAAGTTATGTTAGGTTTCGATATAAATAACAGTCTGTACTTTACGCAGAATCGTGTAGATTTAGCAATGATATTATCCAAGCTCAATTAACTTCTCAAAGACGCTGAAAGGGCTTGGGATTCACCTACAAACACAGTCTATAGAATTAATTAAGCAGCGTGCAGTCAAAACATGAGTGTGAAAGGTGTGAAACTTTGACGACGTCGAGATGCCCGGAGTCGTCCGTGCTAAAGAGCGACCCTATCTGACAAACAGTTAGGTTCAGTAGAGCAGAAAATTGTCGATGTCGACATATACCAGGTAAATTTTGCTCTTGGGACTGTGAATATACGTCGAGATAACCTGGGTTGTCGACATTACCGAGGTCGACATATCAGAGTTTTTGCAAATCATTTATATAGTAAATACTGCCGGGACCGCGGAAGGATGTCGACATATCCCAGGTTGTCGACATATCCGATGTCGAGATACCGAAGTTTACCTGTATACTGATTTGCCAGTGCAATGCATGTCATCATCTCATGACTTAAATACGGTTTACTGCAGCATTATTTAATAACTATTTTAACAAATCAAGAACTAATTCGAAAATTCAATTCTAGCTGTTACCTCTTACAATAATTTTCCCTATAAAATGTACAAATAAATTCCACATTTGACCGCTAAAATTTCTAAGATCTCAAAAACATTTTAAGGTTCAGTGACCCTCTGATAAGAGAGGTAACTCTTAAATGACCACATTGACTATTCTTTTATGAAATTGTCGATCAAATTTAAAGGGCCATTTCTGTCAAATTTGCCCCATAAGGTATGCTGAAATTGTATGCTTTTTAAATAAAAGTTAATGCCATGAATTATCTAATTAGGAATTAAAACAAAATGTCTGACATCATTACTGCAGCAATAAAAACTGTCAGGTTAGCATCCAATTGATTAAATACAGTTGTAACATGAACAATAGGTTAATTACAGTTTACATGAAAATAGGTTAAATACAGTTTACATGAACAATACATGGTATAAATTGAACAATGCAATCTAGCATTGTTTACAAAATAAAAAGCTGGCAGCTTTTATACCATTAATATAGAAATATGGATACATGTATTGATGTAACCTTTGCGTAACATTGTTCATACAAGTTCTCCGGGTCAAACAGCACAGCTGGTAGCCTTGTCCCCTGAGTGTCCGTAGCATACAGTATTTAAATATCACTAGGAGCAGCACACAGAGATTATAATGTCAGCATACAGAGAGTATAATGTCAGCATACAGAGAGTATAATGTCAGTATATAGAGAGTATAATGTCAGCATACAGTTTATAATGTCAGCATACAGATTATAATGTCAGCATACAGAGTATAATGTTCGACTTTAAAATACTAAACTGTTTTAGTCCTCTTTACTTTGTATGTATCCATTATAGCTAAATTGACAGTTAAAACATGCTTTAATGAAATTTCAAGCACTGTATCCAAAATTTCTTCTTATGATCCAGTTGATATCGTATTACATATTGTACAATGTCACCAGTTGATATCGTATTACATATTGTACAATGAACTCTTTGGTCACAAAATGTGACTTCTTCAGAAGCATTTAGGAATGAGTGAGTGTCATGGGTATATGGGTTTTAATGACTTTTTAAGTCAGTTGGCAGCTCTCTGGTTACTGTGATCTCAATTTGTGCTTCAAGTACAACACTATTTGTCACATTTGCAATTTATTTTTTCCAGAAAAATAACCCGATCACAAAGTGAATGCCCTACCACCGATTTTGACAAAACATTAGGTTTGACTATATATATATATATATATATATATATATATATATATATATATATATATATATATATATATATATGCGTGTGTATTTTAACATCTTATCATTATTTTTTTTCTTAAATTAATGAACATGGGTAAATGGAATGTTTGATCTAATTAATAATATTCACACAATTAAATATAAAAAAAATATATTCTCTATTTTGACCAACAACAAAAATAGTCATTCAAATATAACACTTGTTTACAAATTTTTTAAAGTACATGTTATGAATCAGAGATATATTATGTCAAACATTAAAATATTACATGATGGATGTATTTAAGCATGGCATTGCCCTCAACACCTTTTAAATTTTTACAGAAACTAATTTGGAATAAAAACAGAAATGATTGGATACATCTTATCTGATTGTTACAGAATTATAAATGCATTCTGCATAAAGTATCAAGATTTCGAAAGTGTCAAAAGCTTAAAATTAATTGATAAACTCCTGATAAAATCTGCAACTGTACTTTAACAAATGACTCTTAATCGTTAATGATGACATTGGATGTATAGTATTCATAAACCAGAAATATAAGGTCATTTTTTTCCTAGCAAAATGGAGATTTTTTTAAGATTACATTTGCAAAAATCATCAAATTGAATGATTATCTTATTTTTTGTAAAGTGTTAACTAGGGATGTAAATTATCATGCAACCATCTTTTTTTTATTTCCCTGAGGGTTGTGGTTTTATTTTTTCCTGCAAAACACAAACAATGCACTGACCGAAATTTGAATAATCATGCCAATTTCTTAAAAAAGTGAACATAAAATTCATTTTAAAAATACTGCAATAGAAACTGAATTCTGCACACATGAACATATTCACAAGAAAAAAACAAAACAAAACAATCAGAGAAGGCACACAGTGTGGAAAAAAAAATTCCACACCCAATATATCTGCACTCAAGGACGTGCAAATATGCAGGTATAATATGTCATTAGACCAAAATATCATTATTGATGAATAAATTATTTTGTAACAGTGGATATATATATATATATACTAGTGGAGGACGTGTGTGTTAACACTATCAGTTGTCTGAGAAGTTATAGAGACAGTGGGAGGCACCAGACTCCCCTTCACATACAGAACTGAACCTTTATCAACTGTTCAGATCCTAATTCAAAGGAACGTCTTGGATAAGTGGTATTTTTGAAATCAGGTGTTCCAGGATAGAATTCGACACTCTATCAGAATAACTGATGGCCAATAGGTGCCTGCAATCTCAGTTCCATAGATAAAAAGGAAAATCTCTTTTTCCTCTATCTCTGATTATAAAGCCGAGAAAGTTATGAACTGGGTGCTTCAAATTTTCAGGAATTCTTAGAAGTATGGACTTCTTTTCCCCCCAAGGATTATTTTAATGTTCTTTGAGCAGAAGTGATTATTAAATTGATGCTATTCATATTGGAATCACCACTGCATTTCTATGAATTCGTATATTGATGAAATCAGGTGAACAGTAAAAAATAAAGGTCCTGAATATCAATACATCTTGGAATGATCAAACAAGATGACATGCAGAGGTCACACTCTTAAAAAAACTACAGAGGTGCCAAAATTAGCCATCAATTGATGAGCCAAATTTTTTTCAAGTGTGTGCTTCCCTTGTGCTAATCTCTTAATCCGGAGATATGATCAACATTAATCTTCAGGAAGAGAGGCTGAAAGAATAACATGGAAGTTTAAACTGTATTGCCCCTTCTACAATTTGTTTCCTCTGTATTGGACCAGTCTGATAAATGATCGACTGCGTACAGGTAGACTGCATTGATGGAATAGATTGCTACTCTGTGTTGTGCTACTGTTGAGAGAGGACCACAATTACATGTACTCCCTATGATTCATGGACTTCAAATGAATATACACTCAAGTCTAAGAGTGTCTTTGTAGATCAGGTAATTAAATTGTGCAAACTTATTTGATATTAGTAAAATATTTATCTAAAAGAGCTTAACATAAAACCTTATTTAAAATTTACCAGTGTTATAAATTGTAATTCATTAACTTTTTTTTCTTTTGTTCACGAAAGGAATATTAGATCAACTTTTTGGGGGGTAAAACTTTTTCTTTTCCATATGCTCAGGACTAAAATCAATAGAAAAAGCTATTGTTTTTTGGGGAAAATTTAACAATAACTTTTCTTGAAAAGAATGTAAGGTTATTATCGGTAATGTAAAATATGATTGACCTTATAAATAAATCTATCACTTCAATGGTGAGAAATGACTTTTGATCAATATATGTTGCAATTAAATGTCAGATATATAACATATTTATTTCAGTATACTTTGCCTTAAAATGTTGATTTTCAGTTTATAAGTTCATAAATATTCATTTTTTCTCTTCAGGGAAAAAAAAGTTATAAAAGTCAGAAGGAAAAGTTATCCCTTAATGTGAGGAAAATTGATTTGTTGGAGAAATATTTTCAGCTCTGAAACTGGACATCACTGAAAATCAGGAATTATTACACAAAAAAAATTCTGAATTATTTTAGTTCTTTCACTGATGGGGAAAAAAAGGTTATAAAGTTGTTCATCAATTGAGCTGAATTAAGGAAATATCTCATTTGAAATTCAAAGAGGAACAAATTTTTTTAAATGCCGATTGGGAATGTACCCGCATATGACAACATCACATTTACCCATGGAATGTTTGTGCTGGAAAACACCAGTTTTAATCACAGGACCCACGGCTGTCAACTTGATGCAGGAGGACTCAATGAAACGGTCAACTGTACCAGTATTCTATCTGTTGAAGATGACGGTCAAAGGGGATACAACTGGCCAATTCTGCTCCTGACCCCTCTGATTTTTTTTGGAGTGGGAGGGAATATTTTAGTGTGCATGGCCATTTCTATGGAAAAACGTTTACAAACGGTGACGAATTATTTCCTTCTCTCCCTTGCCATTACGGACCTCTCTGTCTGTATTATTGTGATGCCATTCACAGTGGTAAATGATTTCACAGGTAAGCTAGGGCAGATAATGGCAACTAAAACAAAATCAAACAGTTCCAAAGGGAACAACAATCAATTAATAACAAACAAACAATTTGCCATAACAGGATATCGCTACCCTGTCTCTGGGCCATTTAAGTTTTTTTTTAAAAAAATCTTAAAATAGCTGCTTCCGTTTTTTTTTTCCAACCAATTACAAATTGTCAGGGGAATGAAAATTAGCTTAATCAACTCTGCAGCATGCAGCTTTGAACCAGAGCAACTTGTTAAAATGAGATAAAGTAACTGCAGGGGTTGCTCCATTGTTTTTCTTTCATTAACATTTGCTTCCCCAAATACTAGGCCAGTTTCTGCCACTGTAAAGCTTTAACAGTGAGCATACCCATACCTATCTCGTAGTGAAAGTGATAGCTTAGGTTCTACAGAAACAGAGCTCCTCAGGTGAAAGTTTGTTTGCAGAATTTGCATAATGTTCTTGATGGAAACATAGGAAGTGTCAAAATGTTCTTTCTCTAAGAGAGAGAGAGAGAGAGAGAGAGAGAGAGAGAGAGAGAGAGCAGATCAAAATTTCTGAACTCTGAAATATTATTTAAAGATTTCACTCTTTTCCATACACTGCATGAGAAATATATATGGATTAAAAAAAAATCATATCAATTAATCTGCACAAGTTAACTTTTAGTTTTCCATTTAATTAAAATTTAAAGTATTTCTTACTTTCAAAAATTAACCAGAGACTTAAAATAAAAAAAAAAAAAGGAAAATAAAAACTCATTTTCTATATTAACAGAATCTGCAGTGTGGTATTGCAATCTTTCTGTCATTTAACAACTATAACCATCTTCAAAAGTAATGCCAGGCATCTGCCCAATTAGGCCTTTTTGATATATTCAAAATCCAGCCTCCCTCCAAGATCACAGAAGTAGGGGGTTAGCTACCAAAGTGAGAGACAGTAACAGATTTTTTTCGGATTTCATATATAACTCAAATCTCTACTGGAATTTTCTCTGTTAATCAAAAAGTATTTTACAATGGTGCACCTGGGACAACATTAAATCGAGGATGTAATCAGATTTTTTAAAGGGCTGGGCATTTAGCTTATGCTTAATCAGATTTTCTTGTAGCATCCCAAGGTTATTTTACAGAAGGTTTATAAGCTAATAGCTGATAGAAACTGTGTCAATTAATATAAAATGATGACCTTAGTACATATTTAACTAAATAAAATTGCCTCTTTAGATTAAATTCTGATCATTACTTCTATTTTCATTGCATGCCGAGTCATGGCTTTACAATGGGCTAAATACCTTAATAATACTTCATTACTTAAGTTTCCTAATTAAGATCTGGATTTAGCAATTGATTTATTCTTGAACTAAGTTCTGATAAAAATGTACACAGAGAAATGAATGTTTTTGAAAAAAAATTATGTTTAATTTGTCCCATTCTCTCGATTGATTTTTTTCTCGTTCATTCTTGCATTTTTCCCCATATTAAGTTGATAATATGCATTGAGCATGATAGTTTGCAATTTTTCTGCATATATTTACACTCTTAATTGTTAGATAAAAAAAGTACAATTGTTGTAAACAGTCATTCCCTCCAATAATTACTGGGTGTAATTGAAGGTCTATTTAAATACCACTGATATCTTGTGTGCATAAAATAATCTTAATATTGAAATGAGTAAGAAAATTCATGTATTAATTTTATAAGATATAAAATGCCATCCAATTTTGTTTTAATTACACAATATGAAATGAAAATAACTAAAATGATAAACCAGTAATTGTAAATAATTGAATGATCACCCTATTGATGCTGCTGACTTGCAACTACTTTTAAATTACACAGCAAGCAATAAAGACTTGCAGGGAAAGAAATTTGCTTCTTGAAAATAGCATTTCATTTTCTGTAAATGCCTGTTTTCCTGTTGATAAATATGTCATACACAAATAATCTTTCTTCATCTAAATCATCTTCTTCTAAGCATGCTTCTCAAGTACAGATGCAGAGGGTGATAACAAATTAAGCAATTTTCTCATCTAAAGCACACCAATTTTTTTCTCACACTATTTGATGCCACTTATCTTCTATATAGCAGATTGAAAACCCTATACATCAATACAAGTACACGATCAGTTACAAGGGTGTTAAAAAACGTCAGCTGCAATAATTAAGACCTATTTTGTTTTCATCAATGCAAGATATTGGAAAAAATCAAATTCTTGATATCTGTGTACAATTCCCTTACATGTATCCTTTAATATAAACCTCCGACCTAAGCGTCCAATGAAGAGTATCAACAAACTGGAAACAGTTTCTTTCTGTGAATTCTGAGCTTTCAAAAGCCAAAAGCTTGCATTCCATATCTCATCCAAAGGGGAAATTGTCTGACATCAGGATAATATTTCTTAATATAAAAAATTCATTGCTTTCATATTAAGCAGAGCCTGCCAATTCCCTCTTTAATATCTCTACTCATCTTTCATGCAAGCATGAAAGCGGGAAAAAAAATCATCACAGACCCTGGTCATTTCCAATCTCTCTCTGGTTTCTTTGTTCTTCCCGGAATCCCCCTGCCCTCTTTTAACCTTTCATTAACTGTTGCTGTTTAATATTCTCCAGAAGGTGCTTATAAATATGGAATTTCCCCCTGTATTGCAATAAATTCTCTTGCTACCAAATAGCTGGGAAAAAAATCAGTCATTTTGATGAGCATTCACCTCCAACTTGACACTGGCCAGGGCCTATTTATACAGACATAATCTAATTAAGAGATGGAAGTATCAAAGCCACAGCACCAGTCTAGAGTACACACTTCATATACAAGGACTATAAATGCACTCAGTTCATTTAACTTCCTAAATACCTGTGGATGACCTTGTTGAAACTTGATTAAAAAACAGAGAAAGGTGATTGAGCGGTTTATAAAGGGAGATAAGTCTAAATTGGGTTCCTTTATTACTGATGCACAGCGGGATACAATGAGGTGAAATCGTTTTTCCTGGCTCTTTGAAGTCGATTCTAAGGGTTCTAAACGATATGTCTGTTATTGATGATATAAATGCTTTGAAATAATTTTTCCAGAGATTCCACACAAGAGTGGGTGATTATAGAGTTTTGTACCCAACTAAGGTTATGTTGACAATCTGGACAAAGGTTTGGGACAGAGTTTATGATCATATTTGTAGTAGGTTTGTTAGTTACTGGACTGTATACACGTATAATGATCAATTACTCCGGTTAATCTGCTGCCATTGTGAACTGAATGACCTAAAATCGACACATTTTCCCATTTCCTTTAATAATAGTTAATCCAATTGGATGACATATCTAGAGCACTAAAACCCTTAAAACTAAAAGTCTTCCCTATCCTCTTTCAGTTTCTACCAGCCATATAATGTGAAAAAAAGGATTAAAGTAACCCCACATCTCTGGCACCAGAAGCAATTACCACAAATACCATATAAATCCATATAGTCTTTACAATTAGAACATTCAGTCATAAATCCTTTAGTCTTGTAACCAGAGCTAGAGAGCATTGAGGAGCAAAGACAAATTCCTATCATAAATAAGATGGCTAAGAATTAACATGTATAGATTAGTGATTTCCACAATTAGGTAACACCATAATACTACAGAAGATTGTGTTGTATATCACACAAAATGCCAGTTGATGTTCCTTCTTATTCTCAACAGATGTATTCATGTTTCAAAGGAATACTTATGTATAAAGAGGTTTATTTAATACCAGATTCAGAAAAGAACATGATGGCTCCTTCAAATTTTTTTATATTGGTGTATGAGTAATGTAAAAGGTGCACGAAGGTAAAGAACAGAGATCAATCTAATAAATGAAGTAAACAAGAAAAAATGTGAATACGGCAAAAACACAGACCCCTGGTAACACCAGAGGTGGGATCAGGTGCCTAAGAGAAGTAAGCATCCCCCATCGACTGGTCACAGCCTTTGTCTTGATCAGGTAGACTGAATACTCCCTAGTCAAATTTAGCATAAAAGCTTTATGAACTAAGAAATGGTAAGAAATCATCAGACAAAATACAACCCAGCAATAGGTTGTATTTACAAACAAGGTCATTTAATGATTTTCAAAAAGGCTGATTTAAATTGGGGTTGTTGAAATCTTTTTTGTAACATTAACTTATTTGCCAGTACCTTGCCTCGGTTCAAATTTTGATCATATTTGGTGCATGCTCTTCCATATCGAATCAGTTAGAAGACATGAACACCTTTTAAAGGTGATGTTGGAATATTACTACATAAATTATGGAAGTTACAATAGAAAAGCAGAATTGTCATCCCATTTGTCAAAATTTTTAGTTAGTAGTTGGCTATTATCATCTACAGTCAGTAAAACATCCAAATTTGAAACAGATGTGAATAAGCGACTACACATGTATGGATGATAAATTCATGTAAGAAATTTCTTAATACTTTTTTCCATTGGTAGCTTAGAGCCCAGGTAATTGATCACTTAGGAGTTTGTGCTTTTCTCTTTAGGCAGATTAATTATCACTAAACTTAATGGCTTAGAAACTTGTTGAAATAAATGAAGGATTTGTAAGATTTCACATTTTTTTTTTGGCAGAAACTTAATCACCACCACAATACAGTTATAATCTGAACAGAAATTCCCCCCATACTTACTACAGAGCTCCAAGCTCTCTATGTAGCTTCTCGGAGTTCTCAGACACTCTCTGAGCTATATGTGATACAGAGAGCTCATTTTAATTTTCACCTGCTTCATACGGGGAATGTGGTTAATTAGAAAATATCTCACACTTCACAACCAACAGAGATAGGTTGGAATTTTCATTAAGGAAACTAGATTTACTTTGCAACAGATGAAGATTGAATAAGGGTTCATCTCAACTTCATGGAATTTTTTTTCTTGCCATTGCTATTTAGCTACATCACCTTCCCACCTTTAAAAGCATCATTAGCCGAGTGGAATAAAAAAAATGGTTAACATGAAAATATTTTCTTGACAGTGGTCAGAATAGCCCCTATGGTGAATACATACAGATGGAATGTTTGAATTTCTGTATACTTGTCAGTGTTTCTTGTTATGATTGCCCCATTAAACCTGATAGTTCTAAGAAACAACACATCGGTAAAGCAGAAAAATGTTGGCCTGGTTCAATATTTACTCCACCGAGCTCTGATAAATAGACTACAGATTCATAGCTTCTAATGCATTCCATCACAATTGATTTCATCTGATGTTAAACCTAAAATTTAACTATCAGCATTATATAAATCTTACTAAATTTAATTGAAAAACAAACAAGACCTCCACCCCCCTCTTAAAAAAAATAAAAATAAATAAATAAAACCTTTCTTGTCAAATCTATGAATGAATCAGAAGAATAAGTTGCGGAAGTACATTCAAATTGCCATCTCAACACTACGCAGGATTTTACTGAAGACAAATTCAAGTCAGCGATGATATGTGGTATCATTAATCCAAAATATCAAAGATAACCGAATACAATTCATTAATTCAAAATAACTCATTTCCAACGGAAGTCCTCTCTTCAGATTTCAGGTAATGAGGGGGGACTTTTACATTTTTCGAAATGATTCATTCATTGACAAGAAAATGAATGCACATGCAGCTGATCTGCACTATCTCTGTATGCTCTAAGACACTCAATTGTCCAAAACATCCTTGAATTATTTGGCAGGAAGCATTAACTGACTTTAAAAAACTTTTTTTCGTTTTCAATGGTTCATTTGTTGGTCAATTCATTTATCTTATGTGAATGGAAGTGGCATTATCCATGCATTTTATTAGTCTTGAAGAGTGTTTACACAGGAAAAGTTACTTAGTGTAAAAATTTATACTTATTCTTTTTTCATGTCCTATCTTTTTCCTTCATGTCAGTGCTATTATACTGAAAGAGTAAAGTTCTTGTAAAATTTATTTCTTCAATATACACAAAGGTCTTTGACTATTGTATCAAAAAATATATATATATATATATCTTAATACTGAACCTTGTATTCATTCTGAAAAAATGATTTTATTACTTATCCCAAACATATATTCACTGTTCATAGGACCTGAATATTAAAAACAAAGAAAAAATTAGTCACTGCATGAAAAACAATACTGAAACCTGCCTACTGAATTCAGAAAGCCTGCTGATCTCCACTATGCGTGTCCAATTCTAGACTTGACAAGAGTACATGAGAAATGATCAAGATACGATGAAATCCATTTGTTTGCGTTGATTAACGACTTACTTCTGCCATATTTTATCTTATAGCTGAATATGATGTATGGAAAAAAATAATAATACAGGCCTCTTCCTCCGTATCACGATTCCATGACTGTTGTAGTGTCTCATTAAGAAAATGCTACCGATATATTCTTATATCTACCCTGCAGATATAAGAATATATGCTACTGACATATTCTTATATTTACCCTGATACAAAATGCTACCGATAATACTCTTATCCTGATTCAGACACTCACTAAGACACTATTTGAGATTCGATCAAAAACTCCGAAGTTTATTTTTATGCAGTTTCAAAGTGTGTACCCTGTATCAGAATAAATAAACACTTAAGAATCTTAAAAGTGGAAAAACATGTTTCATATTTTTTCTTAAAAAGGTGGTAAATTATCTTAATTACTTAAATTTTTTTCTGAAGTTTGACAATTAAGGATCAACATTTGCAGACAGAACCAAAACTTAAAACTGGAAAAAACTGATTTGTAGATTGGACAGAACAAAAACTTAAAACTGGAAAAAACTGACTTGTAGACTGTCCTTAAGATCATCAATTTGTACAAAAAACATGATTTTGACCAAATTAAGAGCTCTCCTTAAAGTCAACAGACTATGAACCAGTCTTAGAGAATTTGCATTAAACATCAATCTCATTTAACCAGAATTATCCTCGAAAATAACACTGAAAATCCATAATAACAGTAACTTCATCTACCAAGATAATCACGTAATCAATTACCGACCATGATGCAAATGGTCTCTTTCAAAGCAATTCCGAAAACTACGACCAAGGTTTATTGTCCATAGAAGGAAACAGGGATTCACGCAATAAAATTGGACATACAATGGAATGATGGGTCCTTGGCCTAAACAAGGAAACTATCCTATATTATATGTAATCTTTTTTCTATGAAGGTCCATAGGGGCACTACTATTCATTTATTGACAAATAACACCAGAAGTGAATGGAAAAATAAAATCCCCAATAGCCTTGAATACCAATTATGTAGAAGAGTTATTTGAGGAAAAACATTAAAGTATCAAAAAATTCTGTAAACAAATTTACTTTCTACAAGTTTCTATTGATAAAAAATATTTGATAGGATATAAACAACTTTTGTTAAACAAAACATTGTCATTTCTGACTCGAGCATCAATGGGAACCTTAATTTATTGGTAATGAAAAACCTTGAATGTTTTTCCTCACAATCTGGAATAATTGGATGATGATAAAGCACAATCATATGAAATTTAAAATAAATTTATTGCATATGCTCATCATAAGAGTCGATGTCAGTAATGCGCTGTTTAAATTGTCTCATTATACAATTTAAAAGAAGGAAAACAATACTGTAGTTTTACATGCACATTTCTCTTTTTTCTAAAGGACATAAAGATTTTTACAGTCTGGTATGTTTTTCTACGTTTGCTGAAGATTTTTTTTGGCCCCAAATTGAATATCACAAACCATCACTATAAGCCTACCAATACAGAAAGATCCATTTTTTGCACATCTTTCATCCTTCACAGATTAAGAATTTATATGTTTAATTTTCAGAACTTAAGAAATAAACTAATTTTTTGTTACCTGTCATGCTTACTCTGATAGTGTAAAGCAAAAAAGTTCACATATAGATCAGTGATATTTCACATGAGTAAATTGACTTAGTACACAAGTTGAAGTATTTTTGCTATAAATTCATTGCTTTTTTTTCCTTTTTTAATAACTTACCAGAACCGTTTTCAAGCACTTTGAAATTAAAATAATTTTTAACATTATCTAGACTTCATGGTAAAGAACAATCATATTTACTTAGTATTAGAATTACTACGTTCAGATGTCACTTAATTCCAGAGAATTGCAAAGGGAAAAGAGAATTGGACTACTACAGAGTTTATATATTCAAGCAGTCTTTCATAAGAATTTCTGAGGAAGGCACATTTCGAATCATTTGTAGAACTAATTTTCAGTTCTTTAAAAATAAGCACATATAAAACATGACCCATTCTTCTAGTAATTTTACACTTTTGGAATCATTTACAGAACTAATTGTTAGTTCCACATAAGTTATATAAAACATATTTTACAAACTGGAAAAAGTGCTATAACTGCATCATGTGGACTTGATAAAACATATATATTGGATGTTTCCATTGTTTTTATGGCTGCCCTCTCTTCACTCTGATTTTTATTTTAACAAGAAATTTTAGGACTGAGAAATTATTCATCACAGAGATTGTCTTTTATTTCTTATAAATAATTCATGGACTATTAACTTACACTTCAATATCTTCTTTGTGACTGCATTTATTGACCAATAGTCCCATGAATTTCAGAGTTCATACGTGTAATGTACGTTGCTCTTCTGCCAGGAAGAACCCTTATATGTTGGAAAAATTTACATCATAAGTAAATTATTCCATACAATGATACTGATTACATAATTCAAAATTATCTAATTATACTAAGCAACTAATATCAATGTAAGGAATTAATCTCAAAATACTTAAGTTTTAAAAGGAATCTTGCCTAAAACTTAAATTTAAATTTATCACCATTAATTTCAATCTTTTTATCTTTAAACTTAAAAATTTACCCGAAAATATTGATTCTTAATTGATTTATTTTGTTCAAAACTTAATTTATAAAATTATTTATCTCTTTTCAGGGTACTGGTTTTTTGGACCAATCATCTGTAATTTGTACGTCACTGCGGATGTTTTTATGTGTACAGCCTCCATCCTCCATCTTTGTACGATATCACTGGATCGCTACATGGCAATCAAATCACCTCTAAAATCTAGAAACATCTCCAAATCGGTTGTTATCATCAAACTAGCAATAGTGTGGGTCACTTCTCTGGCCATTTCTAGTCCAATTACCATATTAGGTTTCATTAATGAGAGTAACGTGTACTCTAATCACCACTGTGCGTTATCCAATGGTAATTTTAAAATTTATGGATCTGTATGCGCTTTCTTCATTCCATTATTTATCATGGTTTTTTCCTACGGGTTGACACTGTATACCTTGATAAGCCAATCACACAAGCTTCATGCTCAAGGAAAAGAAAACGAAGAGCCTGTTATAAGAAGGTCTTTGAGCAGAAAGCCATTAAAACATGGGACCAGGGTACGATTTCAGACTAGAAAACAGAACAGAAGTCATAATAGAGAAGAGACAGAGGAGCAGTTGTACACACCTATCATCAATCGTAAATCCAACCCCAAATCATCCATACATTCAAGTGTAGAGAACATTTCAGAGACATCTAGTCCCAGAGGCATAGGTGCCTCATCTCCTTTAATGGACAACCAGCAACTCCAATCCCCCAAAAATCTCATGAAAAACTTAGACATGTCAGACTCCAATTGTCACTTAAATCTTGACCAAAGCCCAGGTGATAAGTCCAAAAAGGTAAAGCCATGGACAAGATCAAGACTAATTCTACCAAACGGTCACACAAGCAACCTAAGGGGACTTGTCAAAAAGCATCAACTGGTTTTAAAGGCCACCAACATCTTACTTTTAAAAAAAGCTCACATAAAAAAATTAGATGATGTTCACACTGAGCAGAAGGCTTCTAAAGTGATTGGAATTGTGTTTATCATATTTGTTGTGTGCTGGGCACCATTCTTTGTTCTCAACATTATGACCCCACTCTGTGAGGACTGCAGCTTTGAGCCTGCATTGTATGCATCCTTCAACTGGCTGGGGTTCATTTCCAGCACCCTGAACCCCATCATTTACACAATGTTCAACAAGACCTTCAAAATGACCTTCAAGAAACTTCTGTTGTGTCGCTACGACCGTATCCAACGTAAACAGAGAGTGCGAAGTTGGATTCTTAGCAACGGTTCTCTTTACCACAATGGCTCAGACTCTAATAATAGCATTGACAAGTTTGAAACACCATGTTAATTTTCACCATGTAATAAGACATGACCTTGACATATGATGAGGAGGAATATCAGAATATGGTGTCATGTAGAACCTGCAGAAGGATACATACTGCACACAAAACAGGATTTTCAATTTTTTTTTTTTTAATTTTCAAATCTGTTTGTTTTTAAATGAATGATATTGTACAATAACCAAGCATCAAATTTTTAAATGTTCAGTTGAATTTTTTTTCAAATAGTCTCACTCCATAACAAACAGACCTGCATCAATTATTGACTTCAACTCTGCTTAACTGTGAACTTCAATACTACTTAAAAGGCATACCGTTATTAATTGATATTTTAAGCTGTGATACACTGAAAACATCATTGATTTTGATATTATATTTATTTTGCATGTCTCATTGTAATCAGAACGCTATTACATTAAATTAGCCAAAAAATAATCATGGATATTTCTTATCAGAAAATAGAGTTATGTTTTGAAGTGTTGATCGAGACTTTGATGGAGTTGACAACAAAGAAAAGTTGCAGATCGACAGTTATGAGAAAGTTGAGACACATTGTAAAAAAGCTAGGACAAATCTTTGACATTTCACGGGTACTAGCTTTATTACATATTCTAGCTGGTGGGCCACTCCTTGACATTTCATCTTTCACTTCTATGGATTCATGTCAGTGGTACCTGTGACATTTATTAGAAAATTCTGAGGTAAATATAAGTTACAAATTGATTACTTATAGGGTTTAACCACGTTCAATTCAATGGACCAATGATTTATCTGGGAACCCTTTTAAGCACGGGACTGAACTACTAAGTTACTGACATAAAGTTCTTCATCAAAGGAAAATGTGGAACAAAGAAAAATCTTTACGTCATCAGTTGTTACGTACACATGACATGGGTACACCCCTATCCCTGTTACCCACATGACCCGACCTCATCAAAGTGAGCACTTCCTGTCTAAATATCTATTTCTGAAGTGCGCAGAAATTGTTATTGAATTATTATTTTATGCTCCAGAGATGAAAAAAGTTCCCATCATAAAAAGAAATTGCTCTTGAAAGGATTTGTCTCATAAATCATGAATTCTTATGTGTATGTATGCAATTTTGATGTGATGAAATATATATATAATACATATATTTCACAAACACTTTAGATAATTTAGGAAGAGAATCAGTATATATCATATTGTATATCATTTATCCAGAATATCAATCTTAAAGCTGATTCTGATAAAATTAAGCTCTTACATTCTATATATCACAGATACCGACACAGCTGATAAAATTATGAATCTTTTTGAATGGCAAGACATGCGATCTCTTCAACTATAGGTCAAGGATGTGTACATAAAGATTCAAAGCATGGATATTTTCCTCCTGTAATTACAACGAAAAAAAAAAAAATAAAACCTTGAAGAGCTGATTCAGAAGTGAAAACTGCAGCATGCCACCAATCAATTGATAATCTCCAGTAATTTCCCAACAACTGAATCTACAAAATACTTAATGAGTAAATTGAGAGAAAAGTCAATGAAAACAATCTGAAAAAACCCGCCAGCATTTTATCAGCAATCGCTTTGAGAGTGGGATGAAGATCTGATAACATTTGCATTTCCACGTACTTCAGACAGTTATAGCACAGTCTTTTTACGCAATATCAAGAAGAGTTCAAAGACAGAATGACAGGCATATGATTCTCTCCTCCTTTTCTCTTTTTTAGAGTATTTTAATATATGATGGAATGAGTTGAAGTTTTTAAGCTGAAAATTGAGTTATATATATACTGATCCATAACCTATGAAATCGCAACTCAATAAATAATTTGAAAATCAAAATCGCAAAATATTCCTCAACATCTGTTCCATACAGAATATGAATATTAAAGATATTTCCTAAAATTTATAAATTTGCTCTCCCATAAATATTTGAAAGTAAATATGTTTGATACTTATTTAATCCCCCCTTTTAATTATGTCTCATATCATATGAACACTGATCGACATACTGACATCTTCAAAGATAACCAAAGATACTTTATTCCTCAAGCTTCCATGTTTATCATGATTTACAATGTGATAACAACAAATAAATATCTCCTTTCACTTTAAGAGTAAAAAAAAATTTAATGAATTTGCGTCTTTTAAACTCTTGGAGTGAACATATACCACGCTTACGCCAACGCTTAACGTGGAGCTATTCTTATACCTATGAAAATAAACCAGATTGCTTTGACTTATGAATCAAAAATGAACCTGTTGATATCAATTACAAGATGGAAGCAGGTTATATGCTTTTTTTGTTGTGTTGCATGTTTGGCATCATGGGAAACTTTTCAGGGGGTCAAAGGGTCTCAAAATAAAAAAATAAAGTTTTGACGCTCATGACATATATTGCCATGCTAAGTGAAAAGTTACGCATAAACTTCAAAGTGCAGAATACAGCACAAAAAATGTATCTTATCTAAGGGAGCAATGCTTCAGAGGAAAGAAAACTTAGACAATTTTCACATTTATCTACCAACATTTCCGTAAACAAAAATTTCTGAACTTGATACTACTTGCACTAGAGGAAAGAAAAACTAGACAATTTTCACATTTATCTACGCTATTTCCTTAAAGAAAAGTTTCTAAACTTGATAACTTTAGGAAATACCAACTGAAGAATATGTAATATTATAACATACATGTATATTTATGACACTATAGACTACATCAAGCCCTATAAAGTCTAGCTGTTAGCCTGAAATCTTGTATAGCTCTATGAACTTAAACTAAAGAAAAAGGCTGTTCATTAAATACAAGTGTCTAATCATTCATGTATTTCATCCATTAAAGCGAAAACGTTCATTCTGAGAGCTTAAACAAACCAACTTCAATGTTTCTTAGTGGACAGAGGTCAAATACCCCCCAAGAGAGAGTTCAATATAATTGTAACAGTAAACCCTACCCAAGCAGACTGTGATCATACAGAAAAAGTATCTTGTCTGGGGAAACAACTCAATAAATCAAGTGGTCACATTATAGAATTTAAACTGCTTGCCAAACTGAGTACTGTTAATTGAATTAACAACCGGGACATGATGAAACTTCAAAAATACAGGGCCATAATATTCATGAATTATTTAAAATAAATTCATTCAAATTTTTGATTTTCTGGGAAAAACCATTCCATAGTGACTATTACACAATAAGAAATAAAGTTCGCGTTTTTGTGGAAGTTGCAGGATAACCTCCGAGGTCGAGAAATGTTATTTTGAAATCTTAAAGCCAAGTCTTTAACAAATTCATTATACAGGTACAGTATACAGGGTTTTTTTTTCGTGGCCTTTTATTTTTGACCCTTCACACTTACAATTTTGCCTGATTTTAAATTCTTCCAGACACAGTTGTGTTTAAGAGTTAACGTTTTCTTTCTTGAATTTGCCCTGTTTTAAAATTTGCCCACTTATGACAAGGGCTAAAGGGGCAAATATAAAACAAGGGTGAAAATTTCCACATATACAGTAAAACGAATTACGGACAAAGCAAAGTAAGTTCACAGGTCCTCAGAACTAATGCTATAACCAAGTTTTACTGTATAAATATAAACAATAAAATGTTTTTCTTAATTTGTTAATACAAGGATCAACAGTTGCAGTTAATGCAGAAAAATAATAAATACAACCAAGTTACTGTTTAAATGATTTCACAATTAAACTGGAAATTTGCAATTTACCCACTATGACAGTTCAGTAGGGTATGTATCTCTCTCAAAATAAATTACAGATTCCTTGAAAGGGAAAATATTAGAACGATGCTTCAAGATTTTGTACTTGTGTGTAAATATACACTGTTAATCAATATGAAAAATAAGTTTATTCAATTTGATTTCATGATAAATTTTAAGTATCCTGAGGAAAAAAAACAACAAATAAAATGTAAAATATGTCATTGATTAATTATTAAAAGAAATGTACTGCACCATTTAAAAGAAAATGTTTTGTGCTTATCCTCTCTAAATAAAAAAAAATTAATGTTTGAAAAAATAATCATTTTCAATCAATTACAAGCTGATTAAGAAAATCTTTTGGAAGCATGAAATGAACACTTGAAGTCAAACTTTTTACACTGCAAAGAAAAGATTCGAATTTAATCAATATTTTTCTCTGTCTTAATATGTGGAGAAAATAATCCATGATCTTCCCGCAAAAGGCTACATCTTTTTGTATTCAAATTCTTACCTTATGTCTGAAAAAAAAACAGACTTTTCTGTGATATGTTTCTGTGTTAATAATCTTACCTATAAAACAAAAAAGAGAAGCAATGAAAATTGAGCAATGTAAAAAAAAATAAAAGTGAAAAAAAAATCTTCTACAGTAAAAATTGAACTTTTATTGTACCCGTAATTAAACTTTGAGTAAGGATCAATGTATCATCAAACTTCCTGTTCATATCATTGCCAAGATTTCTGCCTTGTCATTACACAGATATCTTTAACCTTTCTGTCCTCATAATTGCAGGGAGACCTTATCATTGTTATAATCTTAGAATAGTGATATACAGACTCAATCTTATCCGAGTATTAATGGACATTAGACATTAATTAATTATCTCAAAATATGGTACAATGTAATATTGGCCTGAGAGATAGATATGTGACTAAATAATCTTTAAAAAAAAAATACAACATATGGCCTGATATGATAAACTGCATTTCATTACTGTCTAAATTAAAAAAGGTAAACACAAGGTCAAAAAGCAGACTGGAGACTTACAAAAACCAATAAAAAAAAATTTACAAACCCCAGAAACCCAGGTTAAACAAGCATAAAACCATAACAATTAAACCAGCAAATAAAGATTGTTTGCTCTGAAGTTCTTCAGTAGTAAGTTTTATGATTCCCGAAAAGTGACTGCAAAACACTGGAACGCCAGAGAGTCTCCAGGGACTGATGTACAATAAAGGAGATAAATTTTATACTTTATCGGGAGCCTTTTACTTTGAATGTGTTTGCTACGGATTATCATTACCCAACACTGATCTCTGTTCCCAATAAAAAACCCACTTCCTGCTGGTCGCTAAAAAAAACAAAGTCGTATACTTGAAACAATAATAATAGTATTCCTTAGAATTGTTTAGGAACGTGAAGCTGCAAAGAGCAAAGAGGGATGTGAATGACCTTTGTCTCCCTCGAAAAAAAGTGAAAATTAGTCGGACCTTTGTTGTGAAAGAGAGGACTAATTACATATTTTGTACACAATCATTACGATAATTATCAGGAAATGAACTTAGATAACCACAATTTAGCTCTCCAACAATAACCAAAGAGCCAAAACAACAAGAAAATTTCTACAAATAGCTAGATAAAGAGATCATCAAAAGATCATTTTCCACAGTGAAAAGGGATTCCTGCTGCACTTGACAGTGCAATATCATGTCTTTG